TCTCAGGCTTAGTTCTGGATTTTGCTGAGTTGGTCTGCAGTGTGCAGTTTTCTCTGCACCCTCAACTTAGCACACAGCGTCACGGAGTTCAAGCTCAAACTGTCAGGCTCGTACTTGCCGGGGCCTTCCCAGCCCCTTCCCCCACCCCCCACCCCACCAGCACTGCACATGGCTCTGGGGAAAGAAGGACCATCTTCAGTCAGCCGTGGCCTGTTGGCGCAGATTCCCTTGTTTTCCTTGCAATTAGTTGGATTTTCAAAGCTGTCTCTAAGCGTGATGGCGTTGAGCTGCTTACTCTGTTGTGTTTTAGGTCTCGAATCTTGTGACCGGGTTTTAAATTCGGTGTGTGTGTGTGTGTGTGTGTGTGTGTGTGTGTGTGTGTGAGTTTTTGTGTGTGGTCTCATCTTGTTCAGGCTTTTGCATGTGGATGTTCAGTTTCTCCGTCTCCGTTCATTGAAGAGAATTTTCCTTTGCTTTTTGGGTCCCACCCAGCGATGCTCAGGGTCACTCCGGACTCTGCACTCAGGAATTACTCCTGGCGGTGCTCAGGGAACCATGTGGGGTGCTGAGGATCAGCCCCAGGCTGGCCACGAGCCAGGCAATCGCCCTACCCGCTGTACCATCGCTCGGGCCCAAAGAGTTCTCCTTTATCCGTTGTATGCTCTCAATTCCTTTGTCATTCGTTTTCTATGTAAGTGTGGTTTTCTTTCTGATTTTGTTTTATCTTGGGGCCACACCGAGTGGTCAGGGCTGATTCCTGGGGACCATATGCACCGTTGGCGATATGGTCCCAACCATATGTGTCAGAAAAGCGCCCGTCTGGCTGGACTCTCTCTGGCCCTCCTACTGGGCTCTTGACCCTGTCACCGATCAGTGTGCCTGCCTTTATTCTGGCCACGGTGTCTCTCTGAAGCTCGTAGTGTAGTTGAGGACATAAAGTTCCCTCCCTCCTTCCCTCCCTCCCTCCCTCCCTCCCTCCCTCCCTCCCTCCCTCCCTTCCTTCCTTCTCAGAACTGCCTCAGTTACTCAAGGTCTTGTGTCAATATGTACTATTCTCAGACTTAAAATAATTCTATTTCTTTGATGAAAGCCATAATAATGATTACACTGAATAAGGATTTTGCTATTAGGTAAAATGGGCATCTAACAATGTCAATTCTTCTGATCCATGAGCACAAAAGATACTTTCTTCATAGTTCCTTCCAGCATTGTCATAATTAAGTCTTAGAGTTCCTTATTTTAGTTTATTCCTTGGTATTTTTGTGCAGTCACGAATGGCATTGTTCTCTTCATCTCACTTTGTTCTAGTTTCTGATACACAGAAACACAGTAAGCTCTTACATAATTCTGTAGCCTGAGACTAATCTATCATTTCTAATAGTGACTGTGCGGCATCTTCAGTGTCTTCAGGTACAAATCAAACCTGCCCCTGTTAGGACTTATGACTTGGATCTCATTTTTGCCTAATGGTGCTGATTATATTTTATTTTGGTTTTTGACATCAACAATATTTTATTTTGGGCACTGCTCAAAGAATCTCCGCAGATCTCTAGCAGGTTTTGAGATAGAAGAGATGTTAACTTTGTATTTTGCAGACTAGGACTCGGGTGTGTCGATTACACATCCCTGTCACAGCAGCCATCTGCCTCTCAGAGGAGTCTTCTCCGAGGGCTGCATTTCATGGGGGTATCGTGCAGATATTCATTTTAAAATATCAGGCATCTTGGAATTCTACTTTGTGTTACTAAGTGTTCTTAAGTTAATCCACAAAGATCATATAGATCATGAAAGGACCCACTTGCTCCCTGACAAATAGGTTTCTGTATAACCATTCCTTAAGATGACAAATGAGCACACGGCTGATTTGTTTCCGGTTCTACCTGTTGGGGTGGGCTGGGTGGGAAAAAAAGCCAACTGTGTCCCAGATCAGGGCAGCTTCTTCAAGACTTGGGGTACAGGAAAGCTTCCAGGGGGAGCCAAGACCCAGGAGAGAGGCCTGCACCAGATTCTGCAGCTGAATGAACAGTATGAAATACTGGGCTGGGCTGTGGCTCCAAAGAAGGCCCTGGGTTCCAGCCTGTCCTGAGCACTGTTGGGCAAGTCCTCCCAGTCTCCAGCTTTATTATATCCAGGCACTGCTGAGAAAGTCCCTGTACATTTTTTCAAAGTACCAGCAACTGAATGGATCGTAAACTTTTGTCTCTGTCCTTCTGAAGAGTGATTTTCCCTTCTTTGGACTCTGGTAGAGACAAAAGAACCCTTATCAAATGCTTTGGTTTCTGTTGGACTGGCCACTGTGGAACAATAGTAGAGATTTTTTTCCACAGTCACCTAATACCTTCCCTTTGTTCCCCGTCGGAAGATCAGATCTGATGGACCTGCTGGACTTGTCTGCAGGGTCATTTGTTTCGCCCTGAAACGGCACATGCCCATAAACATCACCTGGGCTTTGCTCCTCTCCTAGGACACGAGTCTTCCAGAGCTGCAGCAGGCAGGGCACGGCCCGGGGAGCAGCAGGGGTTGGGATGGTGGGAACGCAGGTGAGAAAGGAGGGCCGGGGCTCAGGCCTGGGCTCAAGGGCTGCACCAGCCGCACCGGGCTTCCTTCTCACTGTGTCTGGCAGATGGCAGTGCTGGCCACTGACCGGCACACACATGGGGCAGCTGCACAGCAAGTGTTGAGAGCAGGGGCATGCTAGGGTGCTTCCAGATGGGTGGGCTGTACCTGACGGTTAGACTGGACGTAGGTTGGGTTCTCGACGGGTGCTTCTCACTCCTTCACTTGTGCAATGTCATACAGAGCAGCTTTGGCTAACACCGGCCCTCACTGCCGACGGTTGAGGTGTCTCAAAGTTCCTACTTCTGGCAGCCCCAATGGTCTACAGACGCACCCGTGGAGCTCAGAACCAGGGGGGCACATGTCCACTCGGCAGCTGCGTGGCACTCCGCGTGGCACCGCCGATTCTCAGCACCAGACGAATGCACGCTTGGGCCTTTAGCTGAAGGGCATGTCCCCCCTCCCACCAACAAGAAGACCCCTCTGGGGCTTGGAGAGAGCTCGGAAGGCTGGGGAGAATGCACAGACCCCCGAGCTGGAACCCTGGCACTGCCTGGGCCCTAGGACTGCCAGGGAGATGCTCCTCAGCCCCACAGAACTTTCCGCCCTGCTGGGAAGTTCCTGGCGGCAACTGTGCCTCCAGCACCCTTCGTGTTTGCGCCGCCTCTTCGAGTTAGTTCACTCACCTGTTGCTTGTCCCGTTCACTTGGCAGAATCACCTCAAGATCCGTTTTTGTCCTCAAAGGCACATTTTCATCATTTTAAATGGCAGCCGTGGTCCTTTGAGTACATGTATGTACTATAGCTCCTTTACGTGGTCATTTTAGACAAAACTGCCTCCTTCTCTGATAGTCACCAAGCGGAACCCATCTGACTTCCAGGCGCAACACAGTCTAGTTGCACCTGCACCATCTGCCAGCCTCTCTCTCAGCCTTTCACTCTCTTCACTCCTGTCCCCCTTCACATGGACCCTTCATCACGGTTCACCTGGAGAGCCCCTTGACTTGCTTATGATGTGAGCGGAATCCAATGGTCTGTTTTGCTGTACTGGGAAATACAGCTCCAAGGGACAGTGGCACCTGGAGACCAGCATGCAAGTGTAACTAAGAGAATCACCCCAGCCTCCGTCCTAGCAACGTGGTGGAACGTCCAGACCCAGGAGCAGCCTGTGCCTTGGTGACTCGGGAGAGCAGCACCACAGGTGAGCCCTAGCCCACAGCATCAGAGCCAGGCGCCTCCTGCCATTCTACTAGGCTCGGAGATGACAGGAGAGAGGCCGAGACAGGCCCACACGTACCTGGGCTGGAATTTTAACCCAGGAAGTCGAGATCAGGATGTTCGATCTGACCCACTACGCTTAGCATTTTCTTTTTTACAAATTTATCTTAACGTAGAAAAAAAGCCACAAGTGTTGATGCTATTCTAAAATTAAAACTGATTAGATAACAAAGCTGCAATACTCAAAAGGCATTAAAAAATCAGTTTATGTGAAAAGCGTTCTATCTGATCGCAGGGTTAAGTCCTTGTGGAAGAAGTCATGAAGCTGTTGCTTTAGGAGGTGTCACGCGGCTGCTTCTGTGGCCGCACACACTTCAGGGACTACAGGACCTGTGACCTGGGACAATCCCTTGGAGTGGCAGCGGCTGTGGGCGTGGCTGCGGGGCGACGGGCGTGGCGTGGGCGGTAGGCGTGGCTATGTGTGGGCGTGGCCGCGGGGTGGGCGTGGCCCTGGGCGGTGGGCGTGCCTGCCGGGGCTTTAACTCGTTGGGGATCCTCACCCCCCCCAACTCCGCCAAAAACCCACCCGAGCTCCGGACTGGACGTGGGCAGCGGGCGCCTGAGAACACCCGCGGGCTGCGTCGCCGCCTTGGGGTGTTCCTGGCGGCTGGGGGCCTTGTGCTGGCGGGGCCGGCCTCGGGGGCGCCTGGGCCCCCCTGCCCCGGGCGGGGACCCCCACTCCGCCGCTCGGCCGCAGCCGCGTCTCCCGGGCTCTGCGAGGGCCTGCGCGTGGCCGCGGCGGGCGCGGGCGGGCACCCCCGGCCCCCGGAAGCTGCACGCGGTCATCGGTTGATCGGACGCTTCTGATCAATGATGTCCATCCGCCCTCGCTTCGCGGCGACCCCGATTCGGCGGCACCTCGGGCTCCGTGAGCGCGACCGCGAGACCCCCGCCGCCTCCTCGGCTCCCGGGGGCCCGGAGCCGCGCGCACCCGGTCATGAGGGCGGTCCCGGGCCGGGCGGAAGTCCCGGCGTCCGGCCGCGCCCCGCCCCTCCCGGCCCGGCCCCGCCCCCGGCCCCGCCCCGAGCCCAGGCCCCGCCCCGGCCCCGCCCTCGGCCGCCCCGCCCGGGCCCAGGCCCCGCCCCCGCCCCGCCCCGCCCCTCGGCTCCGGGGGCCGCCGTCGCCGCGGCGGTATCGCGAGGTTTCTTCGTGACGCGACGGGCCTTCTCCTCGGCGCGTGTCGCTCCCCCGTTCTCGCGAGACTTGCGGGCGGACGGGAGCCCGGGCGGCCCGGGCTCGTGCGAAACATGGCGGCCGTGCGGGGCCCGGAGCGCAGGTGAGCGGCGGGGCCGGGCCGGGGGCGCGGGGCGGGGGCGCGCCCGGCGGGGGCGGGGGGCGGCGGGGCGAGGGGTCGGGCCCGGGGTCCGGGGCTCGGTCCGCCCGGGCTCGGTCCTTGCCGCGGCCCCGCGTTGCCGGGTCCTTCGCTGCCGCGTCGGGGCCGCGCTCCGGGGCTGCCCGCGGGGCGGGGGCGGGATCGGGGGGCCCCCCGGGGAGTGCTGGGGCCGGGGTCGGGGGGTCGCCCCGGGGCGTGAGTGCTGGGGACCGGGCGGGGGTCACCCCGGGCAGTGCTGGGGACCAGGCGGGGGTCACTCGGGGCAGTGCTGGGGCCGGGGTCGGGGGTCGCCCCGGGGCGTGAGTGCTGGGGACCGGGCGGGGGTCACCCCGGGCAGTGCTGGGACCGGGCGGGGGTCACTCGGGGCAGTGCTGGGACCGGGGTCGGGGGGCCACCCCGGGCAGTGCTGGGGACCAGTGGGGCGTCACCCCGGGGAGTGCTAGGACCGGGCAGGGGTCACCCAGGCAGTGCTGGGGACCAGGCGGGGGTCAGCCCAGGCAGTGCTGGGACCGGGAGGGGGTCACTCGGGGCAGTGCTGGGGGTCGGGGGGTTCACTCCGGGCAGTTCTGGGGACCAGTTGGGGGTCACCCCAGGGAATGCTAGGACCGGGCAGGGGTCACCCAGGCAGTGCTGGGGACCAGTGGGGCGTCACCCCGGGGAGTGCTAGGACCGGGCAGGGGCCACCCCAGGCAGTGCTGGGACCGGGAGGGGGTCACTCGGGGCAGTGCTGGGGACTGGGGTCGGGCGGGGGTCACCCCGGGCAGTTCTGGGGACCAGTTGGGGGTCACCCTGGGGAGTGCTAGGACCGGGCAGGGGTCACCCAGGCAGTGTTGGGACCGGGCAGGGGTCACCCAGGCAGTGCTGGGGACCAGGCGGGGGTCACTCAGGGGCAGCCCTAGCGATAGCAGGTGCTGGACGGGACTCGGAGCACAGGTGGCCTCTGCGTGACCGCCTCCCAGTTCCGTCCTCTGCTCCCCAGAAGGGGCCTCGCCGGGTCGTAAAAATCAAGACCGAAAACCACACTTTCAGAAGTCGCTTCTGAGCCAGGATGTGGCCCAGTGTTGAAACCGGGGGTGGCAGCATGGCACCTGGTCTCCAGTGGTGCAGGGAACCCGCCCAGACGGGAGCATGGGTGGTCCCGGGCCAGGGCTCCGGGTGGCACCGTGTCCCTGGAGCAGCCTTGGCGTCACCCTGCCAGCTGCCGAGGTGCGAAGTGCTCCCACCATGCTGATTCTGCTCCTCCCTCCCTCCCTGCGTGCTCCTGTGCTCCCGCGGCTGCCGGGGGCCTGCTGCACCCCCCTCCCCTTATGGTACCGTCGCTCGTGCCCTCCGGTCACCTTACTGACCCACTGCCTAAGCTCAGTCTCCTCAGAGATGTTACATAAATCTCGAAGAGACTGTAAATTCTTGCATTTATTTTGAGAGCAAGAAGCACTTTTTCAGAGACTTTTTTTGAGCTCCCCGCTTGACTTATTTTAATCCTGGTTGAAAGTTGTGGGGTGGTCGTTCTGTCCCCGTCTCACTTCAAACTAGTAACTGGAGACCGAGATGTGGCGGGTCAGTGGTGGGGCACGGACAGGCACCGTGGTCAACGCCCAGTCGGGTCAGCTTAGAGAATGGAGCCCGAGGAGCACTGAGGCCGAGTCAGGGAGTCCCCAGAGCCCAGAGGGGGCATGTGGCCCCGAGGCCCTGTGCCTTTTTGGGCAGCGCACTCAGTGGGCCCGGGGACCCCCGCATAGCGCTCGGTGCATTGGTGTGGGGCCTGGCAGTGCTCGGGATCCCGCCGTTCGTGGAGCGCTTGGCCGTGTTCAGGAAGCGCTTGCCGGCCACACACTCGGGCCCGTCGAAGTCGGTTCCTGAGATCTGGGGAGTGAGCCAGGAGCCATTTCTGTTGACTGCGCGATGAAACCCGGTCACGGGATGCGTGTGCTGTGTGTTAAGTGGGAGAGATTCCCAAACTCGGTCATATCCTACCCGGGTGGACATCGCAATGGCCCCGGTGGCCTGACTCAGGCGGCTGCGAATGCCTGCCCCGCGCGAAGGGCACCGTCTAACTTCGTGGGCAGTTTTCCAAAGCTGTGTCAGCCCAGCTGTTATCGGCGACTTCCTGGAGTGTGGCGGGTGATTATTGAAGCCCAGGACACTTAGGGAGAAAGATCGAAGGGGGCAGATACTGGAGATAAGCCCTTTAGGGGGGGATCGGGTGAGCGCCCAAGGCTCCTGCCTGGCTCCGTGCTGGGCCCCGAGGCCAGGGCCGTCCCCGGTAGGCTCCTGTTCCGTTGGCGTTTCCCGGAGAGGCTGGTGAGCATCTTTTCACAGGCCTCCCGGCCTTCTGTCTGTCTTCTCCGGCCATCGGATGTCATTTGGTGGCCTCTGCCCAGTTGTTCGTGGGGGGCTGTTTAGTATCTAGTTGCCTCTGTCCCGTGCGCGGGTGTCTTCTATTCATAGCTGCTTACGTGCTCTGCACAGTGCTCCTTCGTGGGCCACAGGCTGAGCGCTTCCTCCGTCGGCACGGTGCCTTCTCGCGCGGGTGGCTGCGGCACGTGGAGAGGCTTCCATGCTTCTGGCGCCTGTGTCTTGCGTGGGGTCGAGTCCGCATACGCCCCGGCTCATCCGGGAGCGTGTCTGCCCTTGTGTTTCTTCCAGACATCCTTGGTCTCCGCTTCATGCCAAGTCTTTGGCTGGTGTGAGCTAGTTTTGTGTGTTTACCCATCTGGGGTAGGCAGTTGGTTCTGGTTGGAGAACGGCCGCCCGCCCGTCCTCCCTCCCCTCCCCTCCTCTCCTCCCTCCCCTCCCTCCCTCCTCTTCTTCAGGTGAGATTCCCCACCGTCCTCATCCCCTTTCCGTAGGTGTCAGTCAGCTCCCGCCTGTTCGGGGCGTTGGGGAGACGCGATGGCGTTAGGGCGGGAGGCGCGTGCCTCGCTGACCTGGGCTCCTCCGGATCCCATATGGTCCCCCGAGCCCTGAGGACCGCTGGGTGTGGCCCCCAGATGAAGCGTCACGCTGGGTATGATCCGGGGAGAAAGTGAACAAGCCGCTGGCAGCGGTGCTGTCCGGGAGCATGTGGGGGGGCGGGGGGCGCTGCGCCCGGCCCCAGGACAGCTGTCTCGGCCGACGCCTGGATGGGGCCCAGCACTGCGGCCGCCTGCCGGAGAAGCGCCCTGTGCGCTTGGGAAGTGGCGGCTGGCGCGGAGTCCAGGTGACGGTCACCTGCTGCTTTGTTTGCTTTGGACGGTGACCTGGGAAGTGGCCAGCGCTGACCTGCCCGGCAAGGTGCCCGGGGCCTGGGGAGGAGAGGCTCCCGGAGCCCAAGGGGCAGGAGTCACAGACAGGCTGGAGGCTTGGGGGATGCCCCTCCTCCCAGAGCAGTGCTCCCTGCTGGCTGCTCACGCGGCCCTCCCCGCCCCTCCCCTGCTCAGTCTCGGCTCCCGGCGCTGCCCGGGCCTGTGACAGGCTCTGCGATTCTGGGCCCACTGGGGCCGCGGCTTTGAGCTTTGATACTTTCTGGGACCCTTAGAGTGTTTCTCGAGATCAGCTTTTAAAAATGACGTGATGCTGTAGCATGTAAGGCATAGTTGGCGTGCTGGTCAAAAATAGAAGATCAAGCAGTTAGAGGTATTTTTGGTCAAGGAAAGGGTCTTTTGGAAATTGCGGCTTCCAGGGTCCTGCCCGACCCTCTGGTGGGGGTGCTTTTCCCTTTGTTTCCCTGTTTCTCTCTTTTTGTCTCCCGCTCAGCTGACTGGGCCCAGGCAACTTTCTTGTCTTCTTGGTTTGGGGCTCCCTTAGGTTCTGTGCCGGGTCTCTCGGGGGTGTGGGGGACTCCGGGCGGGGGCTGGTCACGCTCGGGTCGGGTCTTTGCCCGTCCCTGTGCGTTTCCTGATGGCGCGCAGTGTTTTCTGAGACCGCCCAGTGTTGGCATCGATTGAGAACTCAGAGTTCCAGAGTTTGCTTACTGGGTTTGTGACTCTTTCTGTCTCCGGTATTGTGAGATACGGTGGGCTGGGGGGTAAATACGGGGACGCACTTCCGGCTTGGTCCGCGATCCGGCACCACGCGCAGTCCCGGGCCCCACCCGGAGGACCCCTGAGAATGGCCCCGGTGGGGCCTGCCAAGGAAGCAGAAGAACTAAAGGAGGAAGAAGACCCTGGGAGCCCAGCCTCGCACGCAGCCTGGGCCGCTCTGTGGGGGGCGGGGGGCGTGAGGCCCTCCGGAGGGTCATCTCTGGTCTGTGTCTGGCGACTCTGCGTCCCGCCTTCCTTTCCTGCCGTTTTGCCGTCTCGGCCCGTGGCTGCTCCCCCGCGTGGGGGCGGGGCTGTGCTGTTGGTCTCCCGGACCCCGGGCTCTCGCCTCTGCCCTGAGACTCTGCGTTTCTGTCCCAGCAGGACCATATGAAGGGAGAGGCAGGTTTTCCTGAAGATGAGGCGATTGAACCGGAAGAAAACCTTGAATTTGGTGAAAGAGTTGGACGCCTTCCCAAAGGTTCCCGACAGTTATGTGGAGACTTCGGCCAGCGGGGGTACAGGTGGGTCTCTTCCCGGGCCTCGAACTGGGCCTCGAACCTGCGGGTTCTCCTCTCCCCCGCAGTGCTCCGGGGGCCACTGTCCCGGCCCCGCCCTGCACAGCCCACCTGGGCGCTGGCCGCCTCCGTCGCCCTCTGCCAGCTGGTGGTGGAACGGGCCGCGGATCGCTTTGGCGCTCGTGCTTGGAACTGGGGTGTCCGCATCCCCAGGGTCGTTCGGGCCCCGAGAGTCCGGCCTCGGGAGCAGGCTTGCCGCGGTCACTCGGGGGCCGCCGGGAGATGGGCCCGTTGGTCGGTGTGCCTGGTTATGGATGTTTCTGCAGAACCTAAAGCAGAAGCGCTTATGACGAGAGCTCGGCACTCTCTTTGGGGAATGGCATAAGCAGCTTACTGTTTCTCAGGTGATTGAAGTTTGGTTGCTGAAGACGAAGTCCTGCTCGCGAAAGGTCTTGGGGCGCTGTTCATTTCATTCGTTCCTCGCGAACACGATTCTTTTCTTCCTGTCAGAAGCTTTGCTTTCTCTCTCCGGAGCCTGATGCGACATGTCTCACCAGAGATGGGGATGGATCGGGGTTTTGCCAAAGGTCTTGACTTTGTTGTTGTGCTCGGGGCCCACCTGGGTGCTGGGGGTCGACCTGGCACATGCCCTTCCTGCTGTTTTGTCTGGCACCAGATTTTGAATTCTCTTGTGGCTTTCTGGGGTCTGACAAGTCGGCCTGCTTTTCCTTTTTGTCTCATTATTTATGTCGGGGCCTCCGGGTTGGTGCTCGGGAGGCGTCTGGTGTTACGGCCCTCCGCTCTTGGGGCTCCCTCCCGCTCCGAGTATCGTCGCGTGTCGCGTGTCCTTCGAGGTGTGCGGTGAAGGGCCGAGAGGGCTGGCTCAGCCACCGGTGTCCGGAGCCTTCACGCCTCCAGGGGACGCTGTTTCTCACGAGTGCCCAGGAGCCGTGTCTGCCAGTGCAGTCACTTAGGACCCTGCCTGAAGCCTGCTGCTGTCTAGGTCAGAGTTCACCCTTTGCTGCTTATACACGTGTTTTCATGTTAAATACAGAGCAGCAGAATGTGAAACTTCAAATACTCAGAAACCTGACTTAACTGGAGTTCTACGTAAAAGTCCCAAATCCCCTTCCCAGGCCCTCAACCAATGTCATTTAAAGAAAACCTTCTCCGAGGGCTGGAGCGATAGCACAGCGGTAGGGCATTTGCCTTGCACGCGACCGACCTGACTGACTTGGGTTCAATTCCTCCGTCCCTCTCGGAGAGCCCGGCAAGCTACCGAGAGTATCTCGCCCGCACGGCAAAGCCTGGCATGCTCCCCGTGATGTATTGGATATGCCAAACACGGTAACAACAAGTCTCACAATGGAGACGTTACTGGTGCCCACTTGAGCAGATTGATAAACAACGGGAGGACAGGGGGAGTGTTCCGGTGCCGGAGAGATGTTCTGGGAAGTGGGGTGGCTCAGTTCTGCCCTGTACCACACAGGGTCACTTCCGAGCGGAGCCAGGACTAGCCCTGACAGGCGAGGCCAGACTCTGCCCCGGGACCCCCAGAACTTTGGATGGGATTAAGATGTCACAGTGAGGCCTTCTTTGCTAGTCTCTCTCTCCCTTGAGATAGTTGCTGGTCGTCGACTTATTTTTGTGGGGTGTTTTTAATTGTCTTTTCTTGTTGGATTTTTCAGTTTCTCTAATAGCTTTTACCACTATGGCTTTATTAACCATAATGGAATTTTCAGTATATCAAGACACGTGGATGAAGTATGAATACGAAGTAGACAAAGACTTTTCTAGGTAACTTTTTTCCTTCTTGAAATGCCGTTAGCTTCAAACTGTTTCTAAATAGCATCTTTCTTTTCTCTCAGACATAAATATTTATACTTGATTAATTCTGTTTCCAAAGTAGCAATCCTAAAGTCTTTCTGCAGTGACACATGTTAGTGAAGCATTTTTAGAGTTGTAAACGTCCCGGTTGCATTTTGAAAGAAGGGCCCTCTGGCCCATGCGCCTGTTAATAGCTTAGGAGAAATAAATAGGATTTCCTTTAATGTTGTAGTGGTGGAAATTATTTTGAAGCTGTTTACTCAGAAGTTTTCTAAAACCTTACTTATCAAGGGTACATTGTATTTCAAACTTAAGTCTTATGAATGATTAAGTCTTCATGCAAGGTAACATCCTTTTGGGGAGGGGGTCTTCGGGCCTGCGGGCTGGTGGTGGGCCGGGGACACTCAGGCTAGGTCCCGGACTCAGAAAGCTTTTGCAGTAATTCCAAATGGAATATTTACTTTTCATGTGCCGTTGTTTGGTCTAAAAAATGATCTCTAAATTCATTGACATTTCCATTAGGCTTGAAGTGCAAGTTTTTCTTGGGTCAGTGGATTTCTGTCACATATATTCTTGATTAATTTGTAAGGACTAATGTTCGCCTTCTTACTTTCCAGCAAATTGAGAATCAATATAGACATCACTGTTGCCATGAAGTGCCAGTGTAAGTAACCCTCCCCGAGGGGCCCACATGAAACCTGAACATCTTAAAATCCTATTTAATAATGCAAGTCGGTATTCTCCCCACTCTTTTTAAGAAAAATTTTGGACCTCCGCCAGCAGTGCTCAGAGCTTACTCCCGGCTCTGTGCTCAAGAATCACTCCTGGTGGGACTCGGGGACGTGGGGTGGCCAGGATAGACCCTGGGTCTGCCTCTGCAAGGCCAGCGCCCTCCTCGCCTCACCGCTCCAGCCCCTTTTCTTACCAGCCTTGGAAAAATTTTTTTTAAAGTTTGTCCTTTTCAATCTTGGTTTTCAAACCTTGTTTTTTTACTGAGCAAGAAGTTAAAAAGCGTCATTGATTTTTTTTTTAGTACTCGCCACCAAAGCCACACAGTTTGAACTTTTGAACAGATGGGAAGTCTTTATTGGAAAGCGAATCTATGTATTCATGAGTTTCCTGTTCATCATCATAATTTTTTTTTGTGGGGGGTGGGTCACACCCGGTGATGCTCAGGGGTTACTTCTGGCTCATGCACTTAGGAATTACTCCTGGCAGTGCTCGGGGACCATATGGGATGCTGGGAATCGAACCTAGGTTGGCTGCGTATAAGGCAAATTCCCTGGGCTATCGCTCCAGCCCCTCCTCATCATAATTGGTTGGCGTTTTCAAATCAAGTGGGCCCTGAGCATGAACATGTGAACTTTCTAACCCCAATTTTCTCCTGCAGATATTGGAGCAGATGTATTGGATTTAGCAGAAACAATGGTCGCATCTGCAGATGGACTAGTTTATGAACCTGTAAGTTTGAGTCGCGTGTTGTTTTTAAAATATGTAGATAAACTTTAAAGTATTACTGTCTTGAAGACATTTTTAATTTTGATTATAATTTTGCCTAAACTAGTGATTATGTATTTTTTATTTCAAAGATAATTCATATGTTTTGTAAAATTTAGGGGGGAGGAGGGGATGGTGGCACCGGCAGGTCAGCCTTTCCTTGCAGTTGCTGCTGTGCCTTTGGCTGGATTCCAACAACTTGGTACCAGGTGTCCCAAGAAATTAAACGGCAAAAAGTAAGGTTTGTGGGAGCCGCGCCCACAAACTCCCTCCAGCTCAACTAGACAAACTCATTTATCAGCCTTGCTCCAGAAACCCATAAATAGATCTCAAAGAGATCAAAGGCTGCAGTTATTCTCAAGTACGCGAAAGGCTGAGCAGACTTGGGTATATCAGAGGGGGCTGGGTGAGCCTGCTGCCCGCCCAAGCAGAGCCCCCGGCGGCGGCTTGCTCCCACAGTCCAAAATTGCTACTACCATACCCCCAGCCTGACTCCACCTTCTCGGGATGGACCTCACCAAGACGTAATCTGAAAATTCAGGTGTGCGGGGTTTGTGACTGAAATCTCCAGACTTTCTTGGGGTTGGCATGGGCCACCTTCCCCACCTCCCTGTACTTCCGGAGGCCTTGGCAGTCATACCCACACCCCAAAGCGGCCACCCAGTTAAAAAGCTGCTCCCGTCTTACCGTCCCCGCCAAAATACCAAATGCCCCGAACAAATACCATGACCTCTTAGCACCTGTATTGCAAACCATGATGCACAAGAGGAAAAGGAAAGAGAGCGCAGGAAGGAAAGCGCCTCCCCTAGAGGGAGGCTGGGGTGGGGGGTGGGGGCTTGGGGCATGGTTCGGAGGGAAGCAGGCGACGTTGGAGGTGGGAGGTGTGCACTGGGGGAGCGGTGGGTGCCGGATCATTGTATGACAGAAACCCAGTCATGTGCAGCTTTGTAATGGTCTGTCTCGGATATTCCATTAAATTAAAATTTTTTTTCTTAAAAAGTAATGTGAAGTTCATGCCCGCTTCAGTCAGCTTAATCAGCGGCTGAATAAATAGCAGTATTCCTACATTTAAAATAAACAGAATGAAATTTAGGGCGGAAAGGAAAGTGATTCTAACACCAGCGTCTCACTGGGACTTTGAATAAACCTCTGAGTTATTCTATAACCGTTTGTTATATTTTTGGTTATTGCTTCCTATGGGTTTTCTTTTGGTTGCCACAGTGTAAGTTTTTTTCTTTTACTCTAATTCGGAAATTCTGATCTACTTGATTCTGCTACTAAATTTAAACATTGAAAAAGGTCTGAACTGTATTTCTACTTCTCTTATCATGAAAAGGTGGCATGTCTAAGAAAATTTTTGAATGCACTCTTTGGGTTTTTTTTTTTTTTGGTGGGGGGGAGCCACACGGAGTAACGCTCAGGGGTTCCTCCCAGCTCTGCACTCAGGAATTACCCCTGGCGGAGCTCAGGGGACCACATGGGATGCTGGGAATCGAACCCAGGTCGGCCGCATGCAAGGCAAACGCCTTACCCGCTGTGCTATTGCTCCAGCCCCCAGACTCGACTTTCGTACCATGCAGAAGCCTGTGCTCTGCGCGGTTGTAGCCTCCCATGTGGTCCCCTGATAGACGAAGTCTATTTCTCGCGTAAAGGAAAATCTTGAACGGGCTGGTGACCTGCGCTTCTCTCTTCCAGGCGATATTCGACCTTTCTCCGCAGCAGAAGGAGTGGCAGAGGTAATGCGCGTGGGAGTCTGGCGGTGGAAGTGGCTGGCGGTCGCTCTCTTGGTCTTTGCCGGCTCTTTACGGATTCATGTCTCTCTGGCTATTTCTTTGCATGAGCAGTGGAGCACGTGATACACACTTGGAATTTTATCACATCCCAGTAGAGTCATGTAGGATCTTTTCCCTAGCGTGCTGAAAACCGTAAATAAATTTCGTTCTTCGTCTTCTTACAAGTTGATGGTCTTTGTTTCAGTTCATCCTGCCTAGAATGTAAAATAAAAGTCTCCTCACTCTGTTGCCTAGATGCCTCTGCCTGTCGTAGTGACAGAGGTAGATTACTTATGTCGTCCTAGAGATTTTGTGTTCATAAATATTTTGAGTGTTTTAGCATAGTTGCTTATGTCTTGTCTCTCCTCCTTTGTTACTGAAAGAACGGGTTCCTCGGTGTATGCTGCGATTTTTCACCTATCCTGATATTTGGGACATTTTACCGTTTTTTTTTGCCTTCTGGGTCACACCCGGCGATGCTCAGGGGTTCCTCCTGGCTCTGCACTCAGGAATCACTCCTGGCGGTGCTCAGGGGACCACATGGGAGGCTGGGAATCGAACTTGGGTCGGCCGCATGCACGGCAAAAACGCCCTCCCCGCTGTGCTATCGCTTCAGTCCCCATTTCACTGTATTAATTCCATATGGCAGTCCAGTTTAGTTGGATCGCTTCTCAGGACATTTGGGTAGTTTGCTGGATTCCACTGGTAAAACAATGCTCAAGAAAAAAAAAAGACCTAATTCTACTTTAGTTACATACAGAATTTCTAGAAGTAGATTTCCCTTTTGGAGAAGATCTAAAAGTTTTTTTAAGTACATCTGATCAGAAAGGGAAAACTAATGATCAAAATTAATCGTGGTTATCAGATCGTATGCTGTATATCTGAAAATAAAACTAGAAAAATGTTAAGACAGGGAATATCAAGTAGTGTTGTACACCCCTGCTTACAGTCTAAAACCACGCACTGGTTCTTGGTAGCCTCACAAAGGCTGCTAGACCAGATGCTTTTCACTTTTTTTTTTCTGCTTTCTGGGTCACACCCGGCAATGCACAGGGGTTACTCCTGGCTCATGCACTCAGGAATTACTCCTGGCGGTGCTCGGGGGACCATATGGGATGCAGGGAATCGAACCCGGGTCGGCCGCATGCAAGGCAAACGCCCTACCCGCTGTGCTATCACTCCAGCCCTGCCAGATGCTTTTTAAATGTTGCCAACTTCATGGGCGGAAATGACCCTCGTGTTGGTTCGGGTGTTCGGGAGGCCTGGGCAGTGCTCAGGGCTTACCCTGCCGTGAGTCGCCTGTGCTGTAGCCTGGGCCAGACAGCTTCCATGGACGGGTCTGTCACGTGTGTGGCCCCGTGTTTGCCTTGTCCCACGTCGCACCTGGAGGGGGAGTCGGGGCTGAGTTCCAGCCAGGCCCTGGGCGAGGCGGGCGTCTCGCGGGCGGGCGTGTGGGCTCAGTGGCCGGCGGCCTTGTGTCTCCTAGGATGCTGCAGCTGATCCAGAGCCGGCTGCAGGAGGAGCACTCCCTGCAGGACGTGATCTTCAAGAGCGCCTTCCGGAGCGCCGCCACAGCACTTCCGCCGAGGTGAGGCCTGTTCCTTAGACCTGTTCGTTTCCGCTCCGGAGACACACCCGGCAGGGCCCAGGCTTAGTCCCGATCTGCTGGGGGGGGTCCTCTCCTGGTGGTGCTTGGGACCATTTATGGCTTCCAGGTTGGCTGCAGGCAAGGCAAACACCCTTACCCATTGTACTCTCTAGCCCCGAGAGTGGGGTGTGTGTGTATGTGTGTGTGTGTGTGTGTGTGTGTGTGTGTATGTGTTTAGTATATATTACTTTTTTAGTGAACCAAGGTAGTTTTTGTTGACTCATACTCGAGAGGAGAGGCAGCGGGGTTGTGTGGTGAGCAGAGAGAGAACACGGGCAGCAGACGGACCAGCCGAGGCATTTGTGTTAAGTGTCTCCTTAGTGTGGGTTGGAGCGATAGCACAGCGGTAGGGCGTTCGCCTTGCACGCAGCCAACATGGCCGACCCGAGTTCGATTCCTCCGCCCCTCTCGGAGAGCCCGGCAAGCTACCGAGAGGATTGGATATGCCAGACACAGTAACAACAAAGTCTCCAATGGAGACGTTACTGGGCCCGCTCGAGCAAATCGATGATCAACGGGAGGGCCTTTTACCTTTACCTTTTACCTTAGTGTGGGTTACTCGGACGCTTGAGTCTGCCTCGTTCTCCAGATGTCCTTTCCATGAAGGACTGGGGAAGGGCATGGCCGTGCTGTGCGGGGGGTCGTGCAGAGGGGGGCATGTCTGGAGCCGTGTCTGGCCCCGCCTTTCACGTCTAAACATCTGTTGTGGATGGTGATGTTTCTGATATCCCCAGGGGGCCACAGGTGGAAACCCTGAGGGTGGAGGGTGGAGGGTGGGGCGTGGGGAGCAGGGAAGGGCCTGGGGTCACTGCCTGGCGGTGGTGCTCGGGCCTGGGGCTGTCTTTGGTGGGTGAGAAGAGCAGCCTGTTGAGTGGGCTGGTCATACATTGACCCCTCCAGGTGGACGCCGGCCATCGTCTGCTGGCTTAGGGGGATGGCGCTGTCGAGCCTGAGGTTGGCTCCCTTCCCCCATCTTCTCCTCCACCACCTCAGCGGGACTGGGGGCATGCAGGGCACTCCGGGGCTGCCCAGTGGCCAGGCCTGTGTGCGAGCCATCACCATGGCCCCCGGGCCATCCCCTCCCGCCCCTGCACGCCTGCAGCGTGACGGAGATGGTCAGCGGCACGCACGCCTGTCCTTGGGTCCTGCCTCTCGGCTGAGACCTGGGTGGATTGGGAGAACCATGGATTTAATACATTAGTGATCACCCCCACCCCCCGCACCCTGTTAGGAAAAGGAGGAAAGCAGTTTTATTTAGGGGATAGAGAAGCAGGGGTGGGAGACTCTTGGGAGAGCGGGGCTTCTCGCGGGGGAGCTGAGGACCTTTAGGGGAGATGGGGGGGAGACTGGGGTGCCCACTAGGGGCGCTGCTGGGGTTCCCCACTTGGTTTGGGGCCACACTCTGCTCACGGCTTCCTCCGGGCTCTGCACTCAGGGATCACTCCTGGCGGGGATTGGGGACCATGTGAGGTGCCGGAAACGTACCTGAACCAGCGGGCGCCTTCCCTGCGGTGCTGGCGCTTCCGCCCCTGCCCTGTAGGGCTCAGGAGACGCTGTTCCGTGCCGGTTGGAGCGTCACTTCACGTTGGTCTCTCGCGGGTCCCTTGTGCCCCGCGGAGTGGTAGCTATTGCCTGGCTGGCTGCTGGGCGCTAACCCCCCGCACCTCTCCTCTCTCGCACAGGGAGGACGACGCGTCCCAACCCCCGGATGCCTGCAGAATCCACGGCCATCTGTATGTCAACAAGGTGGCGGGCAACTTCCACATAACTGTGGGCAAGTATGTCTCTCCCTCTCTGAAGGCGTCTGAGCGGTGGCGGCTGGGGAGGAAGTGGCTCTGGGCTGGTCGGCCCGTGTCCTGCCCGAGACGCGGCTGTCTGTGACTCTGGCGCCGGGAGGACGTTCTGACCTCAGCGAGTGCTAGAGAAAGTGACTCGGTACTAGCTTTACGGGCTTCTTCAGGCACAAGTAAAATCACCACGTCCGAGTCTGTGTACTAGAGTAAACAAACTGTGAAACTGGTTTTCTAGATAGAAATCTCTTGGCTAACGTGGATTCAGTTTACGGAATGCTGTTAGGGTTTTCATGCCCGACTTCCCCGAACTTGAGGTCATCTTTATCGGCGTGTGGTCCTTGACTAACTCCAGATAGATAGTGGGAAAATCAGGCTAAGGTTCAGGGAAGTTCACAGTTCCCTGCTTCCAGAAGCAGCGCCCCGCACAGGACAACACGCGATAAGCACTTGGCCAGATTTCGAGTGAGTCAGTCGTGGGTTGTCCTCACTCCCCGCTCCTCCCCATCTATGACTCCGGCGGAACAATGCCTCGTTGTGAACCAGGTTTTACAAGTCCTTGCTCTGTCCCGCGAAATACCAAGTGTGGAGCAGAGCCAGGAGAGAAACTTGGGCCTGTGTGTTGCCGACGGCCTCTGAGAATTCCAGTGTTAAGCTGAGTCACGCCAGTAACGGTTCACAGTTGCACAGCCAGGGGCGGGGGGCTCAGAGCAAGCAGGGCAGTCGTGTGTCCGACTGCCAGCTTCGTTAGCCCTCTGGGGGCTGGTGGGGGTGAGGAGAGCCAAGGGGAGAGGCCGCGAGGCCACAGAGCCCGGGGATGCCGGACTGGGCGCGCCTGTCCCTGTGCCTGGCTGGCTCGGACCCTTCCCAGCCCCCCTTCGCCGCACACCCCACGGCCCAGGCCGGGTGAGTCCCCACCGCGTCCTGGCTCTGCTCTGACTCGGGGCGTCGGGAAGAGTCCAGGTGGCAGTTCCGGTCTCGTGTCCTCTCGGTGGTGTCCGGACGCCCTAGGGAGCATCCCTGACTCCGACCTCAGGTCTGTGGCATGGGTTGTTGCTCTGCAGGAAGCGCTCTTGCCTTGGCGGTTCTGCCTTCATCACTCGGCACGGCGGCCACGGGGGCAGGGTGGGATTCCAGCCTACTCGCCACACGCGTCAGTAGGAGCGAGGCCGGAACGCAGTTGGAGGCGGCGCAGTCAGCCCTGCGCGGCCTGTGGTGCTCCTGTCTGGTCATGGGACTCCCTTCCAGATGCCTCGAAGAACAGCTTTCCCCTCCGGGCATCTGCTTGCCGCCCGGAGGCAGGCACAGGGAGGGGGAGTGGGGTGGGGTGTGTGTGTGTGTACAGTAGAGCTTGCTGTCTGTGCTGCAGGTTAGGTGTTGTTGAAGTCGAAGCTTGATGCTGTCATTTCACATATAAACAGACGGGCCAGAGAGATGGTACAGTGGGTAGGGTGCTTCCCTTGCATGTGGCTGACCCAGGTTTGATTCCTGGCACCCCGAATGGTTCCCCGAGCACTGCCCTGAACACAGCCAGGAATAAACCTTGAGCCTTGCCAGGTGTGGCCCAAAAACCAAGAAAATTAAAGATTTGAAAAAGACGGAGCATCCTGGATTCAACTTGGGTCCCGGAGTAGAAAGCCTGGCTGACCGGAGACAGCGTGCTAGGGTCGGATTAGCTAGGTGTCTTTTGTTTTTGTTCTTGGGGCTACCCCAGCAATGCTCAGGCCACTCTTGGCTCCGCTTTTGGGAATCACTCCCAGGAGTGTCTGGGGGGACCAGGGGTTGCCCGGGATCGAACCCAGTCGGCCACATGCAAGGCAGACGCCCTCCCCGCAGTGCTGTGCTCCGGCTCTGGACTCGGATCCATCACTCACGGTACTAAGCGGGAAGGGGCTGTAGGGAGGGCCCTGTAGGGAGGCCGCTTCTGCGGAGGGGATGAGGGGGCTGAGTGCACGGGGCACTTCCTTTGTCCCCACCCTGTGGCGGGCAGCGGTGGGCCCAGTGGCGAGTAGTCTGGAAGGCAAGGCGTGTTTACGTACATGTCAAAGCGTGGTTGGCTGCCCGTGACCCGGCTGCCTGTTAGTGAGGGCTCCGTGTGAATTGAGGTGCAGTCGAGATGTTGACGGGATTCAGTACTCTCATCACTGACGGTTTGTCCCGTGGCTGAGACTGGGGTCTTGTACTGGGCCCACAGCACTCCTGTCCGGGCTGGGGGAGCCCTGCAGGGCGGGAGCGGGGAGGCGGCACTGGCCGCACCCTTGCATGGAGCAGAGGCGTGTCTTGGCCCACGAGGCATCCCGGCTGCCCGGGTCCTGCACGTCTGCGACTCTGACCTGCTCCCTGGGCCCTGCGCGTCTGCGCTCTGACCTGCTGTTCTCTCTCCAGGGCCATCCCGCACCCCCGGGGCCACGCGCACCTGGCCGCCCTCGTCAACCACGACGGTAAGCACCTTCTCCTTTGTTTTTCCTGTGAGACTGTTCTTGAGAAAAAGAACCTGAACTTTCTAAGAACCATTTTTGCAGCGGGCTGGGGGCACGCGGCGCTGACCCTTGGGGCTGACTCCCGCTCTGTGCTCAAGCATCACTCTGGTGGGCTCGTAGGTGGTGGCAGGGCTGGAACCCAGGTGGGCCGCGGCCCTCAGTGGGTCTTCCAGCACATGGGGGAGCGCAGAGGCTGGTCCAGGCCCCGCGGCTGTGAGCCGCGCGAGGACAGTCTCGCTGTCTGCCCGCCACTTGGACACGTTTTCCTCATTTTCAAAGATAACGGAGGGGAGATTCTCCTCTGGGCGACGGTCTCGTGTGCAGGACCCTGGGTTTCAGCCCTGCAGTGCTGGGTCTCCGAGACTATCAGGACTCACCCCTGACTGCCAGAAAAAGTTGGAGTATTTATCTAAATATGGGCATAGTTATGTACATGTAAAAGCTGAAGTTAGTGTCATGTTATAATTGTCACAGAGCCCATTTATTTTTATTTAAAAAAATGTAAAAAAAGCCCAGTTTTATTTAGGTCCCAAGGTTGACAATACTGTTGATTTCCCTTCTCGGGGCTCCATCATCCCAACCCCCCCCACCCCACCCCCTCGTGCGCTCGGCTCTCGACGAGGTCTTCCCTGGTCCGATGGCTTGGGCTGTTGTTCCTCACCGTGTTCCTTTTAAGTCGGCCCCGGGATTGTGGGGATGTGGCACCCACGCAGACACGCATGGAGCTGACCTGGAATGCCGCGGAGCCGTCGGTGATCCGTTGATAAAGGAACCCTCTTCCAAAATGATCTCTCGGTCATAAATTTCAAAACTATTAGGACTTTCTCTGCAAACACATTTTAGGATTTACGTGAGACAAATTTAGTGTGAGGAGTTAAAGGAAAACCTAAGGGGAGAGTCTGAAGAGGCCTCTGGAACTAGGAAAGTGTTTCATCCCGAGAACAGGACCATTGGCTCGATGGTAGGAGATGAGATGTCATTGTAGCTCCTGCCTCTGGAGTGTCTGCGTTAATCGGGAAAGGACTGGAATAAAAATCTCTGACGTAAAACTCAAAGCGCCTGCTCGGATCCGTGACGTTCAGTACCAGTGAGGTGTCGGCTCATCGTTGCAAAGGTCCAGGCCCTGCAGGGTCGGGCCGACAGCCGTTCCCGCTCAGGCGAGGCAGCTGTGAGGCCGGCCCGGTGCCCCCTGCCACGTGCTGAGGGGCGTCTTTGGTCTTTGAGGGAGGCTCTGGGACGCTTCTTACGAGACGCCTCCAGGCTCTGACCCCTGCACGGCCGGTCCACCTCTGGGAGCGCCCCCACCTCCCCTCGCTGGGTTTTCCTCGCACCCACCCTGGTCTCATTCCTGCGTGTAGTTTCCCCACCTGAGCGTGGCTGGTGACGTTGCCGCGGCTCTTTCGAGCGCATCCCACATCCTCCCCGGCACCCGTCAACCGTCTGAGGTTTCCTGAGGGGTCGGTACTGGCGAGCTTCTGTTCCTGGGCCTCTCACTGGGCGCCGCCATCTGCTGAGCCCGTCTGGCCGGCTCATTCCTCGGCCGGGGGAAGCCATTCCTTTTTTTTTTTTTTGAGTCATACCCAGCGATGCTCAGGGTTACTTCTGGCTCTGCACTCAGGAGTTACTCCGGGCGGTGCTGGAGGACCGTATGAGATGCTGGGAATCGAACCCAGGTCGGACACGTGCAAGTCAAACGCCCTCCCTGCTGTGCTATTACTCCTGCCCCGAGGGGCCGTTTCTGACAGCGGGGCTTGATCCTGACCAGGGACCCGGAGAGCGGGTCAGGGCTACCAGGGAGGCGTGTGGTGTCATTACAGGCGATGTTATTCCCGAGAGTTTCGTGTGTAATTAGAGAGTGGGTCCACACGGATTGAATTTCTACATGCTTATATGCGATTTTCTCTAATAGGCTTTAAATGTCATATTTCTTCATTTGAAGATTTGGTTTTTCATTTGAAAACAGAAAGGAATATTAATCAGTCTACAATCCTTGGTTTTGAATGATGTGACTTTTCTCCTTAATTGGTTTTGTTTTTTTTCTGTCTCTTAGCTTACAACTTTTCTCACAGAATAGATCATTTGTCCTTTGGAGAGCTTGTTCCAGGGATTATTAACCCGCTAGATGGGACTGAGAAAATCGCTGTGGATCGTAAGTATTCAGCACTCACCGGCGCTCACGGTGACGGCAGCCGTTCTCTTCCTTCACTCCTGTCAGAGGCAGGTGCTTGCCTGACGCGTGGAAATGAGCTCCAGCAGAGTCTCTCCCGGTTGTGCCTAAGATGCGCATGTTACAGATGAACCTCAGGACGGCGTAGAGAGTTAGAAGGAGCCAGGGACAGAGAGTTGAAAGCTCTGCCTACATGAGCGCTTCATGTGCTGCTTCAGATCTATCAAAGAGGAAGCTCAAAAGTGGCCACGCTAAAAGAATTTTCTTTCTGGTATAGCTTTAAAGCTCTAAAATGCGTATTTGCGGTGCTCGGTACCGCTGGACAATTTCAGAAACTGCAGAAGCGTGAGGTGGCTTCCAGGTCACGTGGGGAGAGACAGGACGCCGCGTGCCGTGGCCCAACTACCTGGCAGCGTCACTCCCGCCCCTTCCCCAAGCGTCCTTTATCCAGATACGGGAGAGACGCTCTTGAGTGCGTCTGGGCGCTTCTAGCCGTCTTCCGTCCCTGGTCCTGCTCCGGGGCTGCCCCCGGGCTTTTAGGAAGCTTCCAGACTCTGCAGCTGGCGGCTCTGGGCTTTGCCTTTGATTCCTGATTCCAGTGAGCGTGTTACTCTCGTTAGTGTTAGCGTTAGATGCAGTACATTGTGAGGTGTATTGAAGCTCAGGAAGATAGGAGGTTCCTTTGCGTGGGCCCCAGTAGACACACCATGGGCAGCCTTCCGACTCCCCGTCTTCCCGTGAAACGTGGAGGAGTTCCCACGTTCCATTTCTGGAAAGACGGATTAGTCAAGTTTGGGTCTTTTTATTCATCTTAGTATAATCGTTGAAGTCTTGCATTTATATTGCTAATTTTATTTTCTGTATGGATGACGTGTGTGTCTGAGATAATCTAAGTCACTGGTTTCTCTTTTTAATGTCTTAGATTTGTGTGTCTCACAAAGAACTTATAAAGAATTCGAGGATCTTGCTTTCCTTGATGACTTTAAAATTTGGGGGGGTACATGTTAAGTCATGAATAGCTTTGAATTTTATGTTAAGTGTATCAAAGTGTTAGGACGACATGATTGCTGTACTTTGTTGCTGCTGGATTAATGAAGAAACACAATTTGGTTTATTCTAGACAACCAGATGTTCCAGTATTTTATCACAGTCGTGCCAACAAAGCTGCATACGTACAGGATCTCGGCAGACACGCACCAGTTCTCCGTGACAGAGCGAGTAAGTCCCCCTGCTGTCGAGCACATTGGTAAGACCCGCAGCTGCAGGAGCTGGGCCCTCGGGGACCCGATGTTACCGGGCCCGCTCGAGCAAATTGATGAACAGCGGGAGGACAGTGACAGTGATTATTATTATTTTGGCTTTTCGGGTCACACCCGGCGATGTTACGCCTGCCTTCGCACTCGGGAATTACTCCTGGCAGTGCTCGGGGGACCATAGTGCTGGGATGCTGGGGGTCAAACCCGGATCAGCTGCCTGCAAGGCAAACGCCCTACCTGCTGTCCTGTCGCTCAGCCTAGCAAGTAGATTTTTAAAAATCTGATTTTTTCCTGTCCTTTCAAAAAAGATCAAAGCGTGGGCTGGTGCCACAACCCGCAGTGAGGCCCCTCTCTGCCCTGGCCCAGCCTGGCGTGACCCCAGGCGTCTCATGGGGGTCCCCAACTGCAGCGCCCAGAGCGAGTCCCAAGCGCTGCTGGGCGTCGCCTCAACAGCCATTTTCTTGATACTTTGATTTTGTCTTATTTTCTCATGCCGGGTGAGCAGTTCTTCCTGCCTAGCTTCCTCTAATTTCTGTTCCTTCTGACGGCGCGAGCTGGCCTCAGCCGTGCTTGGTGTGTGGTGGCGGGTTTGCCTGCGGGCCTGGGGCTGGAGCACGAGTGCTCTGAGCCTCTGCGGAGCCACTCGGTGGATCAGGGACTTGGCGGTCGCAGAGGGCTGGGGTTGGACAGTTCGTCATCGGTTCTTTTTGGTCTGAGCTTTTGGGAGCAGCCAGTTTCTCTTCTATTCTTTTTTTTATTCATTTTTTCTTTGAAAGTAGAGTCACCAGGAGGTAACAGTTTCAAACTGTTCGTGGTCTGCGTTCAGTCATACGGTGTTCCAGCACCCGCCAGTGTGCACGGCGTGCGCTTCCACCACCCCACGGGCCTGTCTCCAAGGCAGACACTCTCGTTTCCCCTCTCTCCTCTCCCTCTCTTCCTGCCTTCTCCCCTTCTCTCCCCCCTCCCTCTCCCTCCGCCCGCCCCCTCTCTCCCTCCCTCCCTCCCTCCCTCCCTCCCTCCTCTCTCTCAGTTTGCCTTACTGATGCTGAGAGGTCGCCGTGTTTGTCCCTTGACCTCCTTTCATTGCTGACCATTCTCATCTACTTACGATCGGTGAATATCCAGATTCCGAGTCCACATTTAATGGCTGTCGAAAACTTGCTTTCTTCCCTAAGGATTTTTTTTTCTGAGTGTTATGACGTGATAACAGTGTCCTCCATGAATGTAGACTATTCCTCACTCTTCAGAAATTCAGTACTGAGATTTTTTAGGGGGGAGCCTCATGGAATCACATGAACATGTAAGTGTGTGAGCGTGTGTGTGTGAGTGTGTATATCTGTGTGTGAGTGATTGTGAGTGTGAGTCTGAGAGAGGAGATGACTTGTGGATGAGTGTATGTGGAGGGTTCGTGTGTCATGGGATTGTGTGTTTGAAAGAAGTGTGCGTATGAGTACGGTACATGAGTGTAATGTGTTGGTGAGTTGTGTTTGTGCGAGGGCGTGGTATGAGTGTGTGTATGAGAGCGTGAGTGGCGGGCACGTGTGTCGCTCAGTGTGGGAGTGTGTGGGAGAGAGAGCGCGTTGATGTGGCAGGCACGTGTGTCACTGAGATTGTGAGTGTGAGTATGTGTGAGAAAGCGCGTATGTGGCGGGCACGTGTGTCGCCGGATTAGCACCTCGGGACCATCACACCGCCACAGTGCCGAGTGCGGCCGTGGCCAGCAGGGCCGTCCGTTGGTCTCTGTGCTGGGCTCGTGCCGTCTGCGCTTGGACAGCCTTGCTCCTTCCTCCTGTCCCAGTGCTCCCGCTCCCGGGTCTCGAGATCCTGGGGAGGCAGAAGTGCCGTGGGACGCGCCGTACTGTGCTGTGGTTTGTAACGCCGGGGACTGAACCAGTGGCCGGACGCAGAGGGGAGGAGGCGTCTGCGCGCCCCGGGGGACGCAGCCGGGATGTGTGTGCGCAGCCAGGGGGCCGCCTGCTCGTCCCGTGTCGTTCTGCGCGTGTCCGGAGCAGCCCTCCGAGCACTGGGGTCCTCTCCCGAGACGGGGCCTTACAGATCCGGGGGCCGCCGCTGCTTCCCTGTCCCCGCAAGGCCTCCCCGGATAAAGCGGGGCCCCTGTCGCGCGGGGCCAGGGCTGGGTGACACCCCTGCGTTCCGTGTGTGTCTCAGGAGCGCGTCATCAACCACGCGGCCGGCAGCCACGGCGTGTCCGGGATCTTCATGAAGTACGACTTGAGCTCGCTCATGGTCACGGTGACGGAGGAGCACATGCCCTTCTGGCAGTTCTTCGTGCGGCTCTGCGGCATCGTCGGCGGGATCTTCTCCACGACAGGTCGGGCCGGACAGCGTCCCCACTGCCCCTCCCCAGGGCGCCGCCCGCCTCGGCCGCCCACCCCGGCCCCGTCAGGTCTCACTTGCTCTATGTGGGAGATGCGTGGGGTGTCAGTACTCTCTCTTATCTGAAGTCAGTAATCCTCCTGACCTTAACTGTGTGCTGTGTCAAATAGCAGCCTGTATCCTTCAAAGTATCTTTTTCTTTTTTTTATTGTGACCTCCCCCGCCCCCCCGCCCCCCCCCCCCCCCCCGGACTTTGAAACCATCTTAACGTAATAGAGTACGTGAGCAGATTTTTCCGTCAAAAAGTTGCACTTCCCTGAGCTGGGATTACTGAGTCCTCTCAAGGATGACTTGTAGAGTCGTCACCCTGAGCCTCCGAGAGAAGGTGGCGTGGGGCGATGAGGGCCGAGACCCTTCCCTGGCTCCGTCCCAGGAAGGGCGGCTTGGAGCCTGAGTCTCTTCCTCTGCCTGTCTGGGCCCACAGCCGGCGACGCTCAGGGCTGCCCCCGGGCTCTGCTCGGGGATCATCCCGGCGGGCTCGGGACCCTGTGGGGTGCGGGCGACAGAGCCTGACGCCCTCCGGGCTGTGCTGCTGTTGCCCCCACCCGAATCGGCGCGCTCCGAACTCCACACGTGCGCTTAAGTGTGTGGTGCGATGCTACTTCTAAAACGACGTGGGGGTGAAAGGAAGGGCCCTTGCAGGGGCTGTTTTGTCGGCCGCGAATCGCGGGCTTCTGCGCCTCGGGGAAGGGTTCCGCGCGCTGTGATGTGTATGTCAGTCCTTACTCTTCGGTGGGGGTCAGCCCAGCAGCCCTGGGTCGGAGCGCTGGCCACCCGCAGTGTCTCTGCACGTCGGCCACACCACGCGGTGCCGGCGACTCCCCTCCCACGACCTGTGTCCCGCTGGGCTCCACTCCCCCTGTGGGCTTGTTCCTGGCCACAGAAATAAGCCAGCTGCTGCTTGCGGCCTGCTCTGTGCCGTTGTCATGAGCGGCTAGCCTTAGCAGCCTAGGAAAGGTTGTTGACGGCATAATCGATGGAGTGCACGGGTGTGGGGTGCTGCCTGGCCTGCCGGCACCCCCGGGCGCCCCCGGGTGGCCTGCACAGGGTGCGAGTCTCGCCCTGCATGGCCCCGGTCCCTCGAGCACTGCTTGGGAGCACCTGCCCCGGCCAGCAATCTAATTACAACCCAAACTTATGTTTTGTTATAGGTATGTTACATGGAATTGGAAAGTTGATAGTTGAATTAATTTACTGTCGTTTCAGAGCTGGGTCCTACAAAGCCATGGCACCCGTAAGTGGTTCGGTCTGAACGTTGCCCCCTAAGTCGGACCTCGTGGCTTTGGCCTGGGTGCTGTGGGGGGCGGGTCTGACGCGTCTCCTCCCTCCCCAGGTGCCCTTCGAGGACGGCCACACAGACAACCACTTACCTCGCCTGGAGAACAGCGCCCACTAGCCCTCCCCGCACAGGAGAGACACTTTTTGCCTGAGACAAAACCTTTTTTAATAATAAAGTATTGTGCAATATGTTCAGAGGAAAGAAAGTGCAACCGAGGAACAGGAACCAGCTGGGGAGCAAACCCAAACTGAAGTCCGTAGCTGTCGTCCACGCCCGGGGCGAGGCCCGGCTGGCAGCACACCCGGAGGACGGGTCCCTGCAGAGGAGCCGGCCGGCCGGGCCCCAGCACCAGGGCGGGGGTCCGAGGGAAGGCGGGCAGGCGCGGGAGGAGAGAGGCGTCCCCGAGTGCAAACGTTTGAGTCCTTTTGTTGCTAAAAGATACGGGATCGGAATAAAATATGTGAAACGCGACAGCTGGTCTAGACTTTGTCGGGGCGTCCGGCTGCGGGGAGGGCCGGGCCCGCCGGGTGTGGCTCAGACACCCGGACCCAAGACGGGGACGGGCCCACGGGCTGGAGCGCAGAGCAGCTGGTGGCGCCCTGGCCGCCGCCTCCGCCAGCTTGTAGGTGGGGTCTCCCCAGAGAGGAGAAGGCACATTTCCACAGATCGCCTCCGGGGCAGGCTCTCGTCTGAGTGTGGGGTAAATTATAAAGGCAGGACTGTCAGCCCGAGAGCCCACTGCTGTCCGCTGGGCAGTGGGCAGTGGATAAAGGCAGAACTAAGCCCGAGAGCCCACTGCTGTCCACTGGGCCGTGGACAGTGGGTGAGGTGCGCCCAGAGTATCTCAGGCCAGTGACTTTGTATTCGATTTTGTTGTTCTAGCTTTCACTCTTTCTAAGGGTTGGTTTTAAACTTCCAGGTGATTCATAGTCAGAGGGGATGATGGCTCAGCTTCCACGAAAAACTCATCTGACATGGACGGGAAACCGGGCAGCACCAGTTAGTCTGTCCATAGGATTCTGTCCGGGGCTAACTGTTCTCTGTGTGAGTTCACAAAGCAAAATGCAGGGGCTGCTGCTGTGACGTACGTGTGTGTGTGTGTGTGTGTGTGTGTGTGTGTGTGTGTTCGGTGACCCAGAGCCGCCTCCCACCTCCCAGTCCTCCCCAACGGAGACAGACAGAGAGACAGGGTGATGGGACCACAGCCTGATGGTGAAAATGGCCCGTTTAATGCAGGGCTGCTGGTGTATTCGTAGCACATCTGAGGGGGTGGAGGTAAGGACGCGGGTGGGATTGATCATTTACAAAGAGAAACTCTTGGCAGAGGCAATTCTCTCGGGGAGATTCACTCAAGGAGACACACTGTCTCCCTGGGACCTCTCCGTTGTTTTTACCTTTCCCTCTGTTGTATAAGTTACTAATACTTGCAGTTCTTAGGAGGAACCCAGTAAGAGACAAGGATCCCAACACTTAGCTCTCTGGGCTGAGAGCAAGCAAGGCTTTTACCGTAAACCCCAGACCAAGTCCTCGGGCCAGTTCGGCTTGTCCTTCCCCACGGGGGTCCTGTCTCTTAAGTCTAACAGCTGGCATCGAGACCCTGCATTTATACTTCCTAGACTGTCCCATTTCGATGCCGAGGGTGGGGGAGCTTTGCCACTCACCCCGGGTCCATCCCAGTCCCATGGCGGGAGCTCCCTTTTGGGCTGTTAGGAACTGCAGCAGCTGAAGCCTGAGTCAAGTAATTATGACCAAGTAATTATGGGCAGGAACAGATATATTTCAGAGGCACTCAACTCCCAAATATCAGGAGCACAACATTAACGGTCTTTCTGTGTTTAACCAAAGACCATTGCCCTATAGCAAACTATAAAAGGGTCTAGGGGAGATAGAAAAGCAGGTACCGATACACAGCACTTCGACTACAAAGCAGTGCAAATGCAAAGTTCAGAATTACCAGAACGTTTTGACTTGTAAGTGATTAAGACTGACTTGGGGAACCATGACAGTGAGAGGCAAAGGATGGGAAAAAGCAATATTCAGCTTACAAGTTGAGCGTCCTTAGAAGGATCCGACCTTCCAAGTTAGGAGAATCAGATTGGGGAAAAGGTGATTAACTGGTTGGGGAGAAGAGCACAGAGAAGAGGTTGCAGGCCTGCTCCTCTCTGGAAAGAAAGATGGCGGCCGCACGGGAGCCTTGTGGACAGCAGGTTTGAGCCGGGGGCGGGCGGCGGCAGGGGCCTCATGGGAAGGGGGGCGTTCTGGGCCGCCCTTCACGCCCGACCGAGGTCGCCAGCTGCCCCCCACGAGCGGCTCTCTGGCACGGCCACGACTCCAGAGCACAGAAACCAATCTCTTAACTATCTGACTTTTAATAGAAATACTTCCAGGGTTAATAAGTGAAACAGCAGAAATCCAAAACCGCGCGACTTCATTTCATTCTTAAACCAAGCTGTAGAAAGCAAATCATTTCACAACGCTGTTTCAGCATGTCTGATTGGGGGGGGGTCGTAAACTCTAAACAACAATTGTGCATCTTCTATCGAAACAATGTATCTAGTCAAAGTAGATAGAGTATTAACTAAAACTCATCTGCCTCACAGGAATTGGGAGGGGTGGGAGGTGGGGGTCTATTGGGGTTCGCGGTTAAAAATAAGTATTGGTAAAGGAAATGTGTTTGATACTTACATGACTGAGACCTAAACCCGAAAGCTCTGTAACTTTTCCCACAGTGATTCAATAAAGAAATAAACTATTAAAAAAAAAAAAAGAGGTTGCAGATAAGCACGGAGGAATGGGAGTGACTCGGGAGCACTGTGACGGGTGTAACCCGATAAACCGAAGCTCCCAGTGGCAAGGGAGAAAGGACACACCAGTGTCATCCTACACTGCACGGTCGCACCAAGATGCGGGTACATACGCGGACAGTTGCCTGGCCTGCTGCATGGACTGCTTACAAGTACAGAGTTGCTGGTAAACTCTGCTTGGATGGCCGAGAACACATATTTGTATGCCAAAGGGCAGTTTCTAGAATGACTAACGCAAACGTGGGTCTCATATGAAACATTAGGCGTTCACGAAGCATGAGGAAGGTCTAGTTTGTAGAGGCTTTACGCATTTGGTAAGGAACAATAAATTCATTCGCAACTCCCGTGCCTCAAGCTGTGGAACCTTGGACCTTGACCTCGATTTCACTCTATGGCATCTTGACTGGGGCAGGACGGCCTCACCCGGCCACGGGGTACAGGACACCAGTGGCCTCCTTCCTCTTCCCACTCGCCTCCCTGATCACTCTCCGAGGCTCTGACCCCGCGTCTGTCCCGTGGGAAATGGGGGTTTCACACCAGCGGTAAAACCATTTGCAGAAGCCGCCTTGCATCTACTTAGGGGCTTTTGTTTAGGGCCTCGCCCAGCAGTGCTCAGTTGGGGCTGACGCCTGGCTCTGCGCTCGGGGGCCCTCCTGGCGGGCTCGGGGGACTCTGTGCGGTGCTGGAGGTGGATCCCGGGTTGGCCGTGTGCACAGTGAGCACCTTTCCCACTGTGGCCCCAGCCCCGGGCTTGGTTTCACACCCGGCAGTTTCAGGGCTCGCTCCCGGCTCGCAAGGTCAGGCGTCTGCCTCCTCGTCTCTTACTGTGTTTATCCTAATAACTGCAAGTATTGATACGTGGGGCTGGAGCAATAGCACAGCGGGTAGGGCATTTGCCTTGCGTGCAGCTGGCCCGGCCGACCCAGGTTCGAATCCTCCGCTCCTCTTGGAGAGCCCGGTAAGCTACCGAGAGTATCTCACCCACACGGCAAAGCCTGGCGAGCTCCCCGTGACGTATTCGATATGCCAAACACAGTAACAAGTGTCACAATGGAGACGTTACTGGGCCCGCTCGAGGAAATCGATGGATAATGGGAGATCAGTGTGTTTCTGTGTTTATTGATATGTGGGACTCACCCCGGCCTGCTCCCTTGCACCGCATGTGGTCCCCGAGCCTGCCTGTTTTTTGTTCCAAGAGAATACAAAACAGGCATTTAGCACCAAACATTTGGACCCTGCCATACCTCACGGCCCCTCCGGACCCTGTCTCCTTCCTGTGGCCCCTCACGTGGGCCCCCATTTCAGCAGCCTTCACCTCTTGCTCCAGACCGTCAGTTCTAGAACATGTCTCCCTCCACTCGAGCTGGTGGCTCATCCTGGCAGGAAAACCGTTCCCATAAAGCATGGTTATTCTTCCAGGTGGAGCTACCCTGCTGTTGGAGGTTGTACCCGTCTTTCGTTTTCCATGTCTTATTATTTATCTCTTGTGTTTGGGGGCCGCCGCTGGCGGTGCTCTGCACTCAGAACTCGGAGAGCCTCGGGTCCAAATGTGCAGGGGTCGCCCCCAGGTCAGCTGCGTGCCCGGCAGATGCCCGCCCTGCTGTCCCATCACGCCAAGCCCGTTTTTCATGCTTTAAGTGAAAGGAGCAGCTGACGAGGTCACAGCCTTAGAGCCGAGTTGCAACTCCATTTGCAAAGCATTCAGGTGCTCACTGTTCCGAATCTATGGCACGTGTGTCAGGACGGATGTGGTGAGCCCAGGGAGCACAGAACCCGGGCAGCTCTGCAGAGACCCTCAGCCTGGCCACACCAATGCACTTGGCCTTCTGGGTGCAGTGGCTTCTCCACTAATTTAAAGGTTTTTTGTTTTATGGTATTTTTTTTTTTTTTTTGGCTTTCTGGGTCACACCCGGCGATGCTCGAGGGTTACTCCTGGCTCTGTGTTCAAAAGTGACACCTGACGGGGACCATATGGGATGCCGGGGATTGAACCCAGGTTAGCTGCGTGCAAGGCAAACGTCCTCCCCACTGTGGTATCACTCCAGCCCCTGATTTAAGGTATTTAAGATTTTCGGCCGCAGCCGCCCCGTCTCACACCTCCCCACCGTTTCCAACGCAGGTGAGATCAGTCACAGCTAAAACGCAGGCACCTGGCAGCTTCTCAGAGTGCAGCGCAGCGAGGGGCTCTGGCCACCTCAGCCACTGGCTGCCACCGCGCGGGCACTTTTCAGGCTGGTGCCCCCACGGCCACTGCTTCCCCCTCACAGCGCTGCGTGCCCGGGGCGCTCACACCTGTGGCTGTGCGGAGTCACTCTGGAACCTGCATGTGGTTCCGAGGGCGCTGACCCACCCGGAAAGGCGAAGGTGTGTGGCCCGGTTCCACACGGGAGCTGAGTGTCCCTCTGTCCAGCTCCATGGACACATGCGCTAACTCCACCCAGAGCTTCCGTCACAGGTGCCCAAGCTCAGCTGGCCGGCCACCCCCTTTCGGGGAAAAGAATCAGTATTTCCCCCACCAAACACCACCCCTAATAAGAGGACAGTCTGCCCTCCCCGTGCCCCCCACCCCGCCGACGCCCCCAGAGCTGCTGCTGAGCCCTGATCATCCCAGCGCCCCACCTGGCTCGCATCTGCGTGGGCCGGGACTCAGTTTCCACAGAGATGCCCACATCCTCCCCTTGTCTGCGCTCACTGTCACTTTCTCCCCACCGTGGGACTTACTGGCCTCGGTGGGCGCCGGTCCCCTGCATGGAGAGCCGGGAGGGCTCATCTCCGCTGTCCTGCTTCTGCTCGTCACCCCACGAGGCCACAAAGGTCCTCGTAACAGCAGCAGGAAGGCCTGTGCCGGCCTGACCTAGCGGCAGCTGTGGCCTAGGGGAGAGGAATCCCTCCCGGGGGAGGGAGGGGCCTTCCCCGGCAGAGGGAAATCACTTCAGCACGCGTTGCGTTTCAAGACAGAATTCCTCACTGGATTTATTGAACTGGGGCAGTAAATCCTTAGAACACGTCTTGACCCAGTTCCATGGACCCATGTCGAGGCCTCGTCTCAAAGCAGACGTCATTGGTTGCCTTGTTTCACAGCTTGCATTTTCGACCCTGGAATGGCGTTCCCAGAACCGACAAGCCCCCTGAAAACGCCCTCTGCAGAGGGCAGAGAAAGCTCGAGCCTTTCTGGGAGGGAACCGGGTTCGAGGCCTGCAGCGCTCGTCCGTCTGGGCGGCAGCAGAGACGGCAGGGGGAGCGTGAAGAGCCCCCAGGCCAACTTCCGGGCCACTGTCCAGCTTTGTGCCCTATCATTTGAGTGTGCAGGCCAAGGATGCTAAATCTGAATGTTCTGGTTCAACAACTAACGTTGTAATACAGGATCCGCTCTGAAATACAAGAAAGCTGGGGTGGCCCCCGGCTTTCCGTTCTCCGCGGAGAATGTCGGGAGAGCCACAAAGCGACACTCACTCGCGGTGTCTGTTCTCTGGCTCCGCCCTGCGTGGAACAATCAGGGCGCTACAGATACACCGTGATCAGCTCAGGACTCGGCCCTCTGGCGAGGAAGAGGGGCAGCATTTCATTCCGCTGTCCTCGGTGGGAAAGGAGGGCCTCCACCGAGCCGAGGCGCGGCCCCTTAGCCGACTCCAGTGGGAAGGGTCCGAAGAGAGAAAGAAGAAAACCAGAAGGTTTTCTGAGAAGGTTTTCAGAAAATTTGGGACTCGGGATTTAGAAACACCCATTGCGGATGCACAAACTAACTCAGAAACAAAACAGGTCTGTGTGACCATCTCGGGGGGCAGTCTGGGGAGTCGGGGTGCTCAGTGTTCCCCCACGGTCCCTAGAACGCGTCTTGGTGGAGGCCAGAGAAGAGGCGTGGGTGTGAGCGGCCGGGCACTGCCCAGGAACTCGAGCGTCGGAGCCCGGCCATAGGGCTGGTCGCTGTGCAGAGGTCCTGGGGTGGCCGGGGATGGGTCGCTGAGCCGCTCAGACCCTGAGGGCGCTGGACGCCCGCAGGTAGGAGAGGAGCTTGGAGCAGAAGTTCACGAGGAAGAACCAGATGTTCCGCATCAGCTGGGAGCGCGTGCTGAGGAGGCGGCAGACCAGGAGCGCCAGGGCCGTGTTGAAGAGGTAGTGGATGTTCCGGAGCCTGCCGAGAGACTGGGCGTCAGGGCGGAGTCACTCGACCCCACTTGCGGTTCCGAGGGCGCTGACCCACCCGGGATCCCGCCTGCTACCTGAAGGCGGTGGCTGCGTGCCAGAGTTCCATAGACTCCTCCCCACAGTGCTCCTCCACACACTCCTCAGACGCACAGTCCTCCTCCACACAGTCCTCCTTCCACAGAACTCCCGGGACTCTACATACTCACAACACTCTTCTGCACACTCCTCGTTTCACAGTGCTCCTTAGTGCTCCACAGTACTCCTCATAATCCATATATACCTCATACTCACAAAACTCCTCCACACCTCCTCCTCCCACAGAAATCCTCGCACTCCACATCCTCCTCAGGCTCACAGTGCTCCTCCACTTCCCCTTCTCCCACAGTGCTCCTCGTACGGTGCTGCTCCACTTGCTTCTTCCATAGTCCTCCTAACCCACAAACTCTTCACGCTCACAGAGTTCCTCATACTCCTCCTTGGACACGATTCACTCCTCATGCTCACAACACTCCTCCACGTAGTCTCCTTCCGAGTACTCCTACTCGCAGTGCTCCTCCTTCCGAGTACTCCTCCGCCTTATCTCCGCTGCAGCCCACAGACAGCCCACGGCGCCCTTCAGTAGATTTTGCTTCTACTGCCCCGTCCCCAGGTCTTGCTCCAGGAGGGTTTTTTTTTCTTATTGGGTCACACCCAGCGATACTCAGGGGTTACTCCTGGCTCTGCACTCAGGAATTACTCCTGGCGGTGCTCGGGGGACCATATGGGATGCCGGGAATCGAACCCGGGTTGGCCGCGTGCAAGGCAAACGCCCTACCCGCTGTGCTCTCTCTCCAGCCCCCAACTCCAGGAGGGTTGAACGCTACAGTTCTTGGCCCGTTGCTCAAGGCGCCTCTGTAGTGTCTCTCCCGTGCAGACTACCTCCACGCGACACACTCCCGGGAGCAGGCCTGGCTGGTGCAGACCTCAGTGCCGGCCACAGAGCCCAGCAAGCCTGTGGCCTGTCCCCTCAGCCTCCGGCCTGAGGCTGCGCAGTCCTTCTGCACAAATGACGGAAGGAAAGTTCACACAGTCGGAGGGCCGGGAGCGGGAAGCGCGGCGCCCTGACACACCGCCGGCCCCTTCTTGCTCCTACGTGACGCCTGTCAATCACAGCTGACTCCAGGAAATACCGCCTGCCCCTAGCAGAGGGCCAGGGGCTGCAGGCTGCGGGACCCTGCGTGGACTGCGCCCCACGGGTAAGCCCCGAGGCACTCCCCCGAAGGACTCACTTCTTCAAGTGCTCCTTCGCCTCGGGGATGCCCGACATCTCCTCCTTCAGCAGGTGCCTCTTCACGCCCGCGACGTAGTTCTCGATGTACTCCAGCCAGTTGAGCTGCCGCACGTCAAAGTTGAACACCTGGAGGGCAAGCGCGGGGCTGTGTGCGGCGGCCACTCCTGGACAGCCACCTCGACCACCCGGGCAGTGACTGCCCACACGAGGGACAGCCCACACGCCAGGCTGGTTGGGCCCCGAACCAACCCTGGGAAGGAGGCCTGAGTGGTTATTTCCATGTCAGTGACACTCGGATCAAGTGACCAAGATAAACTTGGGTCCAGCAAACTTCCTTCACCGGTAAGAAGTCTTGTGAGGAAACTAAAGGGCCCAGGATTAGATGAAGGAGTATTTTTATAGGGGACGGGGGCAGAGAGATAGCACAGGGCCTAAAGTATCCGCCCTGCAGGGAACAGTTTGAAGCCGGGAGGGACCTGCCGATGGCCACCCAAGCACGGCCACCCAAGCACCACAGTCCAGCTCAGACAGTTCCTACCCACCCCCCACATTAAAGAAACAGAATGGAGACCCACAAAACACATCCTGTGTGGTCCCACCCTTCCGTGGTACTGGCGTGTCCCGGCTGGTGGGGTGTGTTGGCAGACCGTGGGGACCACTCTCCTCCCCTCCATTACTGGACATAGAAATGCCAGAGGCTGCAGCCACCCTGCCAAGAGGACCGGCAGGAAGGAGACATTTGGAACCACGGTTCGGCCAGTGCTCGGTGCAGCGGCATGAACGGAGGCTGAGGTGGCCAGTGAAGCTGGACTTAGATGATGGACACAGTGACGTCTGGCCTCCGTGGCTGGCCCTGGGAGGAGGCCCGGACCCAGAGGCAGGCTCTGCCATGGCGGGGGGGAGGGTGCCCTGGCCCGGGTGGTCCCTTCCCGGAGGGGCCTGGTCTGAGGGGGGCGGGTGCAACTAGACTGGGTGGGCAACACATGGCCATGCCCCAGAGCTGGTTGGGGGGATTCCTTGGGAAGACCATGGCTCAGCTGACCACGGGCCAGCAGACTGTGGGGCCCACGGGGGACAGAAGCCCAGTCTGAGACGGGACGGAAGAAGCGTTATCCAGAGGGACCACCCAGCGCAGGGGGCAGGCCAGGTCACTCACACGCTGGTCCTCAGGGCTCAGCTCAGCCCTGAGCATCTCGGTGCTGTTCATGCTCCACTCCCAGCTCTGGCTGATGAAGTACTCCAGCACCGAGAGCATCTTCAGGATGCGGTTCATGATCTTCATTAACCTGCGGGCAGCGGGCAGGAGCGGGTCAGCGCCGGATGGCGCCTGGGTGCGGCGACCCTGGGGGCCAGGCCAGACACTGCACCCAGGCCCGGGTAGCACGGCCGGCCACCAGGCTGCAGCTTCGTGCAGGCGGTGTGGGGCGCCCCATGGTACCTTCGTCAACAGGCTGGCAGGTCCAGCAGGCGAGACCCAAGGCTCTGCACAGAGCCCAGGCCCGCTCTGCCCAGGCCCCGCCCACCAGGCCCAGGCCCCGCCCACCAGGCCCAGGACCCGCCCACCGGGTCCAGTTCCCACCCACTGGACCCAGACTGCCCACGGGGCCCAGACCCCGCCCACTGGGCCCAGGCCCCCTGCCCACTGGGCCCAGGCCCTGCCCACCGGGTTCAGTCCCCGCCTACCAGGCCTAGGCCCTGCCCACCACCCCACAGTCCCTGCCCACTGGGTCAGTCCCCGCCCACTGGGCTCAGTCCCTGCCCACCGGGCTCAGTCCCTGTCCACGGCCCCACAGTCCCCGCCCACCAGGTCAGTCCCCGCCCACTGCTCCATCATCCCCGCCCATCGGGCTCTGTCCCCGCCCACCGGACCCAGTCCCCGCCCACCGGGCCCACAGTCAGAGGCCACTGTGTGTGCCATCACTGCTCCCGTGGCCCCTGGGCCTGCGGTCCCTGCCCACTGGGTGCCGGGAGAGCCAGTGGCACGCCCAGCACCGCGTTGCTGCTCCTCCTAGGGCCCGGGCCCACCCGACCCAGGAGGACCCCGGGGGGCTGCCCCGCACAGCCAGCATCTCCCCAGCTCTGTCCCCACAAGGCGGGCGTCCACTCACCGGGGCTTCCTGCCCGTGAGCCGCAGGAACAGGTCGTAGATGAGCACAGGGACCCAGTGGCTGACCACGTTCCAGTATTCCTGGGAGAAGGCGCTGCTGGTGAACTTGGCGTTGGGCCTCCGGAACGCTTTCTCCAGAGGAACCTTCTCGAAGCTTCCTAGGATCAGTGAGCCTGGGGGCAGAGCAGGCCAGGGCCGGGTCAGGCCCAGCTGTGTGGGGCTGAGAAGGGCGTCAGGGGCACCACCCAGGGGGCCCCCAAACAGGCATCAGTGTCACCCTAAACCATGTTTTATTGGGGGGAGGGCTGGGCCTCACCCCGTGGGTTCACGGGTGGCTTCTGGTGCCGGGGACGGGGCTGGGCCATGACCCCTGGGCCATCCCTGCGGCCCCCACGATGTTAGAGTGGGCTGGGCCCGTGAGTGAGCATGGACAGAACCGGGGGAGGCGAGAGGTCCTCGGGGGGCAGGGAGGTTGTTCCCGGGCACAGCCTGGCATGCATCAGGCCCCAAGCCCCGCCCTGGCGCCGCTGCCCCTGCCCACACCACTAGGCCCGGGCCCCGGAAGAGCACCAAAAGTGGGCTGGGGAGAGGCGCCTCCTTAGAAGAATTCCCCACAGCAGAGGGTGTTCCCCTGGAACAGGGAAGGGTCAGAACCCGAAGCCATGACGGGCTCAGGCAGGCCCACGTGTGGTCACTCCAGAAGGGGGTTCTTGTTGTCTGTGGGGCCACCCCAGCTGTGCTCAGGGCTTCCTCCTGCTCTGCACCCAGGAGTGATCCTGGGTGGGCACACTCGCCCACGGCACGCCCGCCCACATCTGCACCGTCCCCACAGCCCACCAGCTTCCAGCTCCGAGACCACAGCTGCGTGTCCCCCGCTCAGCAAACAGCCTCCAGGACGAGCTGGCTCCCTGCTCAGCCCTGCCCGTGCCTGAGCACCCACCTCACCTCTGCCACAAAACCCACATGGCTCTTACCCAAGCTCCCACGGGGCACAGGGTGGGGCCGTCTGGGGGTCCCCGTCCTGCTGTGCCTCCGAGGCCTGCTGCCTCCTACTGCAACCTCGAGTGGGCACAGCCCCCAGAGTGCGGGCGGAAGGTCGCTCCTGCCAGCCACCCACACCCACATCGGCGGCCTCGCATCTGTGTGCCCTGCCCAGGCCTCACCGCTACCCAGCCTCCGTTAGAGGCACAGCACCAGCCCACGGGGTCACCCCAGACGACGGCGCCAGCCCACGGGGTGTTTTATCCTGGCCAGCAAGTCGCTGTCCCTGCTGAGGGTATGGAAGGCATCCGCTGACCATCTCCCCAAAAACAGCCAGAACTGCCGGCCGGGCCGGTGATGCCAGGCCTGAGACCCGAGTGCCCTGCCAGGAGCTTTGATCCTGTGTGCGCCCAGGGCGGCTCCTTCCAGAGTGAGACCGTCATTCTGTCACTGACATCTGGGAGCCTTGCGGGTTTTGAAATAGTTCAAATTTTGTTGGCTTGGGGGCCACACCCAGAAGTGCTCCGGGGTTATTCTTGGCTCTGCACTCAGACATGACTCCTGGTGGGACTCGGGGGCTGCTGGGGGTGCCGTGGATTAAACCCTGGCCAGCCGCATGCAAGGCCAGCGTCCTCCCTGCTGTTCTCTCTCTCTCTCTCTCTCTCTCTCTCTCTCTCTCTCTCTCTCTCTCTCTCTCGGGCTCCGTTGGAGGTCTCTTTTTATTACTTATGTCCCTCAGAGTCTCAGGTGACTAAATGAATTCAATAACTGGCCCTCTGACGTAAAGAATCTGGAAGGTTCCCGCCTGCCTTCCTTCCTGGGGTGCTGAGGGTTCAGCTCAGGCGCGGCGGGAGAGGACCTCTAGCACTCTCTCGCTGGCCCTGGGATTTCGTCTCTTTTGTTTTACTTCATGGTTTTGGGGTCACGCCCAGCGGCGCTCAAGCCTTCCTCCTGGCTCTGAGCTCAGAGACCACTCGTGGAGGTGCTCGGGGGCTCTGCGTGGCGCTGAGGGTCAACCCTGGGTGGGCTGCCTACAAGGCAAACACCCCCTGTCACTCCTCCGGCGCCTCATTTCACATTTAAATACTGCGCAGAGCAGCATGGCAGAGGGCCCAGAAATAAACAGCAGATTCCAAAAATCAGACCTCCCTCCCGTGTCACTGTCACTGTCCTCCCGTTGTTCATCGATTTGCTCGAGCGGGCCCAGGAACGTCTCCATTGTGACACTTGTTACTGTGTTTGGCATATGGAATATGTCATGGGGAGCTTGCCAGGCTCTGCCGTGTGGGCGAGATACTCTCGGTAGCTTGCCGGGCTCTCCGAGAGGGGCGGAGGAATCGAACTCGCGTCGGCCGTGTTGGCCACTTGCAAGGCAAACGCCCTACCCGCGGTGCTATCGCTCCCCCCATCCCCTCCCATGTATAACATGTAAATAAGAGCGCAGCGATTTAAGATTCATGAACATTCACAAGAAAATCAGTTCCTCTATGCAAAAGGAGCGTCGTGGGCGGGGGGGGGGCACTCTGGTTCTGTATTACCTGTGGGTAACTGCAGACGTGGATGGAAACAGTGTGACTCAGTCACAGGTTAAAGTCCCGGCTTTTCTGTCTGGTCACTGCCAGGAGGAGCAAGTAGGGAGCAGAAACCCACAGCACAAGGTCCTCGTCGCGGGTCGGCGCCCCACCTGCCGCCCACCGTCCTCTTCCTTTGCGGCGCAAAAGGACTTAAGGGTCCCGCTTCCAACTCACTCCCATCTCAGCCCTGTTTGGCTGTCACCAGACTCGCCACCCACACAATGCCGTGCCACCCAGACACGTGCTGGCGGGGGGGTCACCAACACTGTCCTGGCACTGTCCCCGATGCGACCGGGTGCCGGCGGCCTCAGTCTCCCTGTCCCGAGCATCCGGCCCGCGGGGCAGGCTGGCCTGGGCACACTCACCAATGTCCTTCCAGCAGCAGGGGTTGAGGGCCCCCGACGTAGAGTGGTAGATCCGTGTGGATTTCGGTCTGGAAAATTCCAAGAGGCCGTGAGCAAACCGGGAAAGCCACCAGCGCGCCCAGACCATGCCCTCCTGGTAAGGCGGCGCACGGGGCGGTGACCCCCGCGTGCAGACCCAGCTGGGCCGGGGATGGCAGGAGGGAGTCCCGCTGGCCAGACCCCGGGCGGGCACGCAGGCCGGCTCATGCGGAGCAACTCCTCCCCCACAGCTCAGAGGCCATGGCCAGACCCCGCTCACCGGCCACCCCCGCGAGGCGCCCGCTGCACCTGTGCATGGCTGTGTACCAGCCCACTGCCAAGGTGAGGTTGATCACGATGTCCACTGGGATGATGTCAGCCACCGCCATGGGGGCCCCCTTCACGGAGCGCAGCAGCCCCTTCCCCATCTGCAGGGAGAGACGGACCCTGGGCCATGCGCCCACCGCGTGCGGGAGGGATGCGGCTTGCTCGAGTCCCCCTGCCCGCAGCCCTGGCCACGCGGCTATGCTCCTCCAGACACAGGAGACGCAGCCGGAAGCTTCGGAAAACACGAGTGAGACTTGCCCTGGGCAGGCATGAGATACCGTCCACAGTTCCCAGAGACTGGCAAGGACGTCTGGGGCAGAAGTGGGGACATCCAGGAAAAAGAAAGAGGTGAGTTCATCACCCCTGTGATTGTCGGAGCTGCTTTCGTGTTGGAAAGCCGGACAGCGGCTCTCAGACTCTCCCCGAGCTGGCCGGGAAGCGCAGTGGGCAGCTCCAACTCTGATGGGGGGGGGGGCCCAGCCCTGTGCTGACTGGACAGCAGGGGGAGCCACCCCCAGGGGGTGGGCAGAGGGCACCTAGGCCAGGCCCCCGCGGCTCAAAGGCCCCTCAGCCCCTCACAGTCCAGGATGTTTTCCTGCCAATGACACCCCCAGCAACAAAAATGCCTTCATGGACCGACTCCCACTCGCCCATCAGCCCGTCACCCCGTGAGGCTCTGCCCTGCACCCTTGCACCTACCGCGATCATGATCCCGCTGGGTCCGTTGAAGTTATCCACCCAGCCCTGCAAGGAAAAGGTGCGCTTACCCCTGCAGGGTCGTCACAGTCCCACCCTCCCACGCCCCCCGAGGAAGGACCCAGGACCCCCGGGACGGCCCGACCCAGCCAAAAGCGGGTGCCAGGGAGCTTGTCCGGCCCCCTGCCTGCCAAGGGGCGAGGGCCGCAGACATGCGATCTCCATACTGCGGCCCGCCACTGTCCCTCCGAGCGCCTGTGGCTGACTCCTCAGCTCCCCCGGGCAGTGTCGAGGACGGGATTGGCACAAATGACCACTGAGAAGTGCTTGGAGGACATGGGGTGTCAGGCGTGGTGGAGGACGTGGCCTTCCCGAGTTCATCCCTGGCCCCCACCCCTGGCCCCCAAGCACATGTTGAAGTAGAGGTGTGTGTGCGTAGGGACAGGGTGGTGACAGCCCGTGGTCACCCCAGAGGGGGCCTGAGACAGCCCGCGGTCACCCCAGAGGGTGTCTCTCTAAACCTCGTGGGCTGTCCACCAGGCGGGCTTCTCAGACCAGCGTGGGGGAAGGTGACAGCATTCAGCGTCTGCTGTGGGTGACACACACGTGGGTGAGGCCACCGCCCCGAGATCCCATCTCTGCCCCCACACCAAGACAAAGGGACGCGGAGGCAAACGGTTAAAAACAACCATGGGCCTGAGAAGTGGCCCGCGGGGAGGGCGCTGGCCTTGCAGGTGGCCGAGCTGGCCTGGTCCCGAGGGTGCCCTGAGCACCGCCAGGCCTGATTCACAGGTGCAGGGCTGGCACTAAGCTCCAGCACAGTCAGCTGTGCCCCGAACAAGAGCAGACCAACAGGGTCCAGCTCCTGCTGTGCAGGAAGAGTATGACGAGGGGCTTGTGGCTCCGTGGGGGGCCGGCTCTGCTGCGCTGGGGTGTCGGGAATGGGAGAGGAACGCTGCCCACGGCCGGGGGCTGGGAGCAGGGCACGGGGCGCGGGCGGGCTCACCGGGAAGGGCTCCTGCCAGGTGGCGCCCACGATGGATGGCCTGATGATGGCCAAGTTGAGGTGGCTGCCCTCCTTCAGCAACACCATCTCGGCCAGGGCCTTGGTGTAGGTGTAGGTGTTGGGCCGGTCCTCGATCAGCCTGGGGGTGATCTCCTCGATGATGGCATCGTCCAGCCACCTGCAGGCGTGAGGGAGGGCTCGAGCGGCCACACGGACCCGAGGCAGACAGACGCACAGACACACACCTGGCCCGCACCAGCCGGGGGCTCAGGGGCTCAGGGATTCAGGGTCCTCTTGGAGCCCAGGGCGGAGCAGGGACCATGGGAGACCCCCTGCCCCCACGGCCTGGCCTCCCAGATGTCCCCTTCCCACTCGCCCGACACGCTCCGCAGCCACCACACACGCTTCCTGCCACTCCAGGGTCCTGGCACCCGCGGGCACCGTCTGGCCACGGGCAAAGGGCTGTGAGCAGAGTCGAAGGGCAGCCCTGGCCGCTCTATACTGTCCAGCTGGAGACCAGGGCCCTCATCCTGCCACTGATCACTTTTACATTCTTAAAATTCCGTTTGGTGCCTTGACACATGCAAGTGGGTCTGGCAGATGCACAGCTGCTGCAGCCAGCCACGGGGCACGTCTGCAGGTCTGCACAGCCCACACGGTGTCTGCAGGTGTGTAAAGCCCACAAGACTGGTGATCATCTGCCGAAATATCCCGAGAAGGGCAGACACAATAGTCTGGGAAGGGAGTGAAGACAGTCCTAAAGGGGATCGAGCAAGGATCCAACAGTGGGATCTAAGAGAGGGGTCTACTAGGGATCCACCGGAGGGATCTAACAGGGATCTACCAGGTGTCCACCAGAGGGATCTAACAGAGGGATCTACTGGGGATCCATCAGGGGATCTACTAGGGATCCACCAGAGGGATCTAACAGAGGGATCTACTAGGGATCCAACAGAAGGTCCATCAGAGGAATCTACCGGTCTAACCGTGGGGTCTAACATGGGATCTAACATTGATCCCCTCCAGTGACCTACAGAAGAGATCTAACAGAGGGATCGAATAGTGTCCCCAAAGAGGGATCTACCAGAGGATCTACCAAGGGAGCCATCAGAGGGATCTACCGTCCCCGAGAGCCATGGCCCTGCCCGTCCGATAAGCCGCAGTGACGAACCCAGCAGCGCCTCTGCCGTGACGGCAGGTGAGTCGCTGACCATCAGCTCCAGGAGGACGCGCTGTGGTTTTCCCGGCCAATGGGCCTGTGCCCACGTGACAATCCCATGGCCGGGCACCATGCCCGCAGACTCCCCCAGCCACACAGAGCGGAACCTAGCACGGGCCAGAACATCTGGGGCTTCCGGCCTCACGGGAGTTGCATCACACGTGCTTTTCAGCTAGGACAGAAGAAAGACAGGCCGAGAAATGTCCACGTGGGCTACGGCTCCAGAAACTGGGACACCCTGTGACCCCAGTGACCCAGGTGGTCACCTGGTGCCGGGATGAGGGGCCGAGAGTCCCAGCAAGCCCGTTCTGCCTGGTTCCCCGGTGTGCGCCCTCTGGGTCTCGGGGCCCCGCTGCCACTTACTCCATGGAGGCCATGATCTGCTGGGGATCCACGGAGCACGGGTACACCACCTCGTCGATGTGCTGGAGGTTGCAGTTGGCGTAGGCGGTGGAGATGTGGATGAAGGCCTCCAGCCTGGACATCTGGCTGGCCATGCGCAGGAGCTGCTGGGTGGCCGCCACGTTCAGCTGCACGGCGTGTCTGCAGGGACAGAGGGGCCAGGCGGGTGCTCAGCATCCCGCCCTGTCCGCCCGGGGACCCGCCCCTGCTGGCTGCAGTGCCCTGGGGAGCCCTGGGGCCAGGAATCCCTGAAGCTTGCGGGGGTCCTGACCCTCTGGGAGAGAGAAGCCACAGCTGTGCTGACTCAGTCACGGAGAGAACAGAACCCACCGCTCCACGGCGACACATGAGGTGGTGGCGACCAAACTTGCACCATTTTCCTTTTTCTTTTGGTTTTGGGCCACACCTGGTGGTCCTTGGGGCTTACTCTGGCTCTGGTGTTTGGGGACCCCATGGGGTCCTGCGACCAAACCAGCAGGAGTCACGCACTGTGAGCGCCCTGCCCGCGGTACACGCCCCTCGGGCACCACACCTGCAGTCTTTCTAAAAACCTGTTCAAGTCTCTCCAGGGCTGATCAAGAAGCATAAGCAAGTCAGAATAGCCAGGAAAATTCAGTGAAAAGAACCACAATGCTGACTTGTCCGAGACCGGCCGTGGTAAACCGGGTGTGTAGCTTCGCATCCACCTCTTTGGCATTTGGAATGGAAGTGGATGGGCTGGAGCGAAAGCACAGAGGGTAGGGCGTTTGCCTTGTACGCGGCTGACCCGGATTCGATTCCCAGCATCCCGTATGGTCCCCTGAGCACTGCCAGGAGTAATTCCTGAGTGCAGAGCCAGGAGGAACCCCTGCTCATCGCTGGGTGTGACCCAAAAAGCAAAAAAAAAAAAAAAAGAAAGAAAGTGGAGGGGACAGTGTGGCTGTGGGTGTCAGGAGGAGACCCCCGGGCACAGGGCAGTGCGAGCCACGTTCTCAGGAGGCGGTTCAGCATTTCAGGTTAAACAAGGGTTGCATCTGCCCCACGGTACAGGGTCCAGAAGGCACAAACACTCGAGAGGGGTCAGAGCCATTGGTGGGTCAGTAGAGAAGTGACCGGGGAGGTCAGAGGCGCCCGTGCTCATTCAGGGCTGGAGAGACAGGTCATCGGGTACGCGCTTGCCCTGTATACGGCTGACCCACGTTCTAACCCCAGAACTGCATCGGGTCCCTTGAGGGCCACCGAGCGTGATGGCAAAGCGCAGAGACAGAAGTGAGCTGTGAGCACTGCAGAGTGGCCCGGGGACAAACACACCGATGAGAAGACTTACTCTCGCAGTAAGAAACCCGAAAGCGGAACCGAGCTGTCTACAGCTATTTCCAACGAGACGAGGCCACTGTGTGCATGTGTGTGTGGAGTATGTGTGTGTGTGCATGCGTGTGTACAAATTAAACACACATCGCTTTTTATGACGAACACAGAAAGGCTGCGAAAATGGTCTCCCCAACATTAAAATGGTCCCCCCGGCCCAGGAGACCCTCTAGAAGGAGAAGGAGAGGTTTCACCCCTTGGGAATATTTCTTTCCACTGAGTTTCTTAAAAAGCAGAGAGGAGGGGCTGGAGCGATAGCACAGCGGGTAAGGCATTGGCCTTGCACGCAGCCGACCCAGGTTCGATTCCCAGCATCCCATATGGTCCCCTGAGGACCGCCAGGGGTAATTCCTGAGCGCAGAGCCAGAAGTAACCCCTGTGCATCACTGGGTGTGACCCAAAAAGCAAAAAAAAAATGCAGAGAGGAGACAGGGCTGGGTGACTCTCAGAGGGCTGCAGTGCTGGGTGAGAGCTCAGAATCTCCAGCTCACGTGGCCACAGTGGCTTGGGAGGCCCCAGGCCACGCCCGTGCCCGGACACATACCTGAGGTGGTCGTCGAAGCGCACGGTGGCGGCGCAGTGGAAGATGAGATTGGTGTTGGACAGCAGCTCCTGCATGTCCTCCTTGCTGATGGCCAGGTCCTGCTGGTTGAGGTCCGCGCAGATGGGCCGGATCTTCTCGTGCATGTCCGGACACTTTTCTTTGACTTTATCAAATAGCTGGGAAGACGCGGGTGCGGCTCGTGGGTGTGGGAGACTGACCCCAGTGCTTCAGGCTCCACCAGTGAACTGCCCCTCCGCCTCCCCCAGGGAAGCCACAGTGCTCTTGCGAGCACCCTAATCCCCGAGCTTATCTTTAACCTTGACCTCTCATTGTTAGCTACTAAACTCCCCAAGTCAGGCTTGGTTACTTATAAAGTCGAACCTTCTGGTGACTCTGGGTTTATTTTTTTGTTGTTGTTATCCATAGTGAATTACTTGCTTTTTCCCTTTCCCTTTAGGCAATAGAGCAATGTTCTTTGCTTAAAAACAGAAAGGCCACTAATGCTGTGCTTCTGATATCTGGGAGTTGATTGACTGAAATATGTCTACTCCTGGGCATCCGTCAGAATTACTTGACTCAGGCTTCAGTTACTGTGTCTGGCATATCGAATACTCTCGGTAGCTTGCCGGGCTCTCCGAGAGGGGTGGAGGAATCGAACTCGGGTCGGCCATGTTGGCTGCTTGTAAGGCGAACGCCCTACCGCTGTGCTATCGCTCCAGTTGCCGTAGTTCCTAACACCCCAAAAATCTGGGTCCCAGCGAGGGATCTCTGACCTCGGACAAGCAGCAAAGCTACCCTCGCATCGATATGGGATCGTCTAGAAATCATCAACCAAGGTCTTGATACAAGCAGTTGAGACTAAGAGCTAGAACCCCAAGGGATGGGAAAAACTAAATCGGCCTGAGGACCTAGCCTGGGATCTGCGGTAAAAGGCTCGCTGGGTGAGTTTCTCAGGAGAGCCCCGGGGAGACAGAGTGCCTCCTTGAGTTCATTCCCCCCAGAGAACTGCCTCCGTGGAAATGCTGCACCCCGGTGAATGATCAGTCACACGTGCGTGCAGTCCTGTACCTCAAACCTCTTCAGATTTTGTTTTTCTTTTTGGGTCACACCCGGCAATGCACAGGGGTTCCTGCACTCAGGAATCACTCCTGGCGATGCTCGGGGGACCACCTGGGATGCTGGGGATCGAACCCGGGTTGGCCGTGTGTAAGGCAAATGCCCTCCCCGCTGTATCGCTCCAGCCCCCCTCTTCAGATTTTGTATAAACGCTATTCAGCCCCTGAATTAAATGGGCCATATTTACCGTCTACACATGAGCTCCCCGTCTCTTTGTACCTCTTTGTACCGGGGAAGCCTGGGAGTTCATTCTTGGCCACTGAGCATGTCTCGCACCCTGGACTCACAGTGGGAACTGTCCGACCCCCTTCCCGTGAGCCCCGTGCCCACTCTGCTCTCCCCAGTGCCGTCTCAGGCCCCGCAGAGATGCCACTATTCACGGGGAACCTTCCGCGTCTGCTTGGAGCAGCTGTGGTTTGGACCTGGTGTCCACTCCCAGGGCTGGACATCTGCAGGCCAAGCATCCCTCCCCAGAGGCCCACAGCCCCCGGCCTTCACCCAGGAGGGCACTGGAGCCCAAGTGCTGGGGGCCTACCCCATGACCCTGGGGCAGCTGAGCAGCACGACCAGAAAGCAGAACAAACATGCCAGTCTGGGGAAAACATGCAGACACGCGTGTGAGACACGCCGACAGGGAGGGCGGCACTGGCCCGGGGTCACATGGCTCAAGTTCCACCCGTGACTTTAGGGGACGACTGAAAAATTCCAACTGGCTGACAAAGTTGTTACCTCTACCACAACTGCTCAGACCCGCTGGGCGACGGTCCACGCGGCCAGTACTCAGACCGCTGGGTGACTGTTCACGTGGCCGATATTCGGCTGTTGGACCCGCTGTCCACAGCACCTTCACCACTTCCCAGAGCAGCTGCCTTGGTGGAACCTTCTTGGTTCCAGGCTTCTTGTCTGAATCATACATGGCAGTGCTCAGGGGACCGGGGATGGTATGTTCGTGCCGGGCATGTGTGTAGGTATATGTGAGTGCAAGTATGCTGTCTAGGGATATGGCGTGTACATGTCTATGGTATGTACGCATGTGTATGCTGTGTGTACATGTGTGTGGCATATACGAATGTGTATGTGTGTGTACATGTGCGTGTGAGTGGCATGCATGGATGTGTGTGTACGTGTGAGTGGTATGTACGAATGTGCATGCTGTGTGTGTGCACGTGTGTGTGACATGTACGAGTGTGGATGTATGCTGTGTGTGCGTTCAGGGGTGTCTACTGACTCTCCCACATAATCCAGATGCCCCAAGAGGGGAAACGAAGGTGCCCATGACTCAGAATGATTCTGTGGCTGGTGAGAGTTTGCGGGACGGGAGCTCTGTGAGTTCCAGTCTGAGGCTTTAACAAAGACGAGGTGTGGCCAGAGCGGTGTAAGGAGAGGAGGAGGCAGCGGGCGAGCCCCTGGGCTGGACAGGCAGTCAGGCGGGGAGGAAAACCCTGGTGGGCCTCAGGGCCAATGCCCTGTCCCGAACAGGGAGGCCCAGGGGCAGGGTCTGGGTGAGTGACCGCCAGAAGCCGCTGGGCACTCACTGGTCAGGCTTCCTAGGCTGAGCAAGTGACCGTCAGGGGCCAGTGGGCACTCACTGCCCAGGTCCTCAATCTGGGTGAGTGACCGTCAGAGGCTCCGCTCCGGGGAGAGACGTCTCCCGGGAGGAGCAGTCAGGAGAGCGTGTGGGTCTGTCAAAGGGCTCTGCCCACATGTGTGTGGTCAGGGCACGTGGCAAATGCACACAACAGGAGCACGGGCCTGCAGGCGGCCACACAATGGAAGTGACCGCAGTGACCAGTGGCTCCAGCTGCAGCACCCGTGGCCAACTCCTACTGGAAAAAGTACAGAGAGAACAAGACCGATACCAGTGACCCGCACTGAGCCCCTGGACCCAAGGGGAGAGTGGGCAAGGGTGGGTCTCAGGGTGGCACACCTGGGGTTGGGAGGGAGGGATGGAGGGAGAAACAGAGAGAGAAAGGGAGAGATGGGAGAGACGAGAGATGAGAGACGAGAGACGAGAGAGAGAGAAGGAGAGAGAGGAGAGGGAGAGAGAGAAGGAGAGAGGGAGAGAGAGAGGGAGGGAGGAAGAGAGGGAGAGGAGAAGGGAGAGAGGAAGAGAGGGAGAGGGAGAGGGAGAGCTGCAGGAGCAGACTGCTGGGCGACTGTCGCAGCGCCCAAGTGTCCTCTGCAGCCTACGATACGGCCACCTGCACCCGCGAGGGACGTGACCAAGAGCCGCAGGGCGAAGGGGGCGTGAGCGGGGGCCCGAGGGCCGGCCCGCGGCACCCACCTTGCAGCTGAGCATCTGCGCCACCCGCTGCTGCAGCGTCCGGCCCTCCTTGGGCCGCACCAGGACGTAGATGACCCTGAGGCCCGGGCTGGCGCGCAGCAGCTTCTCCAGCAGCGCCTTGCCCAGGAAGCCGGTGGCCCCGGTGACCAGGATGGACTTGCCCTCGTAGAAGCCTGCGATCGCGGACATGACTCGGTCTCGTGCGGCGGGGGCGGGGGCGAGGGTCCTGCAGGCAGAGCAGAGGGGCACGGCCACCGTCAGGGACTCCCGCCAGGGCACCCACACCCCATCTGGGCACCCCCATCCGAGCCGCTTCCGGGACTGCCCAGGCGCCCAGCATGCGAGACGCACTCGGCGAGGCTGACCCCACCTTCCTGTCCCCGATACGGCCCCTCAACCCCCGGGCTGCAGAGTCATCTCAGATGGCCCCGGGTACCAGCTGACAGCACCAGGCACCCCTCCCTCCGCCCGCGCCCCGCAGCCTCGCCCTCCCACCCCGCAGCCAGCTGCCCCACCAGGACAGACCACCGCAGTCTCCCCGGACAGGACGGACCACCTCAGTGTACCCAGGACGGACCACACAGTGTCCCCTGGACAGGACAGACCATCGCAGTGTCCCTGGCCCAGGCTCTCCTCCCTGTCCCTTTCATTTGGGTAGCAGGTCAGCCTGCTTCTTTCTTTTTTTTTCTTTTTTTCTCTTTTTTTGGGGGGTCAGACACGGCCATATGGGCTGCTGGGAATCAAACCCGGGTCGACCGTGTGCAAGGCAAACGCCCTGCCTGCTGTACTGTCGCTCCAGCCCCTTTTCATTATTTATTTATTTTTTGAAAGCATCACCATTGTAAACTAGTATTTTTTGTCTTTTTGTGTCACACCCAGTGATGCACAGGGGTTACTCCTGGCTCTGCACTCAGGAATTACTCCTGGCCGTGCTCAGGAGACCCTATGGGATGCTTGGAATCGAACCCAGGTTGGCTGTGTGCAAGGCAAACATCCTGCCCACTGTGCTATCCAGCCCCCTTGTGTATATTTCTTTTTTTTTCCCCCTTTTTGGGTCCCATCCAGCGATGCACAGGGGTTACTCCTGGCTCTGCACTCAGGAATTACTCCTGGCGGTGCTTGGGGGACCATATGGGATGCCAGGGATCGAACCCGGGTCGGCTGCATGCAAGGCAAACGCCCTCCCCGCTGTGCTATTGCTCCAGCCCTGCAAAACCCTTTAAAAGGCTGAGAGATTGTGACGGGGACTGCAGGGTCTGGGACTTCCGTTGCAGTCACTGGCTAATAAGTGCCTCAAAATTTCTCGGGTTCTCTGAGTCTCTGATTTGCACCCCAGAACAGACGGAAAGGCTGGGGTCTGGGCCGGAGGGCTGAGCGGCCCTGGACGGCAGCAGGTCTGTGGACAGCCACGGCGAAGGCGGCCGAGATGAGACCAAACCCAAACCAGGCTGGAGATAGTGGCTCGAGGTCCGTGGCCTCTGCGTGTGGCCCGTGGCCCGTGGTCAGCAGCCCAGTGAGAGAAACGCCGGCACGTGGGGTCAATGCAGTTTCCTCAGAAGGTTATGGGCAAAGGGAGGATGCAAAAGCCGCTAGGCCACGGGTTCGACTCACTCTTTCTCTTGATGTGAATTTATTTGCGACAGAAGGAATGAAATACCCCCACACCCTGGAGCTTGCCCACCGACTGTATTCTGAGGGCGCTGATCAACAAACAGGAGCCAGACAAGCACGGCCCGCCCAGACGCGCAGCAGACATTCACCTTCCACTCAGGCGAGGCCGCGGGTCCATGGGACCCCCCCACCTCACATGCCCACAGAAGGCACCCTGCACCCGGTGCCCCCTGCCGGGCCCCCCTCTGCACCTCCACCCCCCTGCCCCCATCATTTGGCCTCGCCATTCCTGCCCCATTCCTGGGGCATGCAGTGAGCCCCGCTCCATCCCTCCCTATTTCCCGATAGTTGGATAACACTGGGTTGTCCTTGCTCCTCCTGCAGGGAGCTTAGGTTCATTGAGTTACTCCCACAACAGTGCCCCTGAGGCACACCCAATTCCACCAGGCACTAATAGTCCTAAACTGCGTTTTCTCTCTCCTTTATCATTTGCATGGTTTAGCGGTGTCCTTCTTGTATAGACACAGGAAGACAGTTGACGCTATGCTATGGAACATGGGAGTTGATTGACTCCAACATAATATTTACTCCTGGGCATCCATATTTACTTGACTTAAGCTTCAGTGGCCCTTAGTTCCCAGCACTCCAAGAGCAGGGTCCCAATGAAGGGACTGAATAGGCCCAGGGCAAGCTGTGAGCTACCCTGGCATCGAAATGGGCCAGGCCAAGAGCCATAATACTTACCTACAAGTTAACAGCATGGTTATGGACAAACTGTATCATGACCCCAAAGGAAGTAACTGAATAAGGACCCTGCTGGGGTTAGGAAAGACTGACCTGGCCTGAGGACTGTGTGGTCTGGAAGATACAGCAAGATGTCTCCAGGTAGAGCCAACCCGTAAGTTTGATATATCGCTTCCTGTGTTCACACAAAATGACTAAAAAGATTCTAAGAAGTAAATTTACTACGATTGGTTACGTGGATGACCACTTGAGGAAAGGAGAAAGCAACACACTCTGGGTGGAATCCCGCCCTTGAACGGGTCTCCTAGTAATCTGGAGTGCTGAACCCTCCGATGAGGTCTCGTCCTTGAGTTAACCTCCTGAAGGAACGGCTTTACCTCTCTTTGTTGTTATGACAACGCTCAACCCCACCTTTGTATCCCACCCTTCAAGGTTCCTATATAACTGTGCTGTGAGGGGTCAGAGGGGACTAGGCCACTGGACCCTGGGAAGGAGACAGAGACGAGACGTGGAAGAGCAGACACTGGGACGAGAACGTCAGGACTAGATGCTGAAGACCAGGTGTCCCCCCCGACATCGCCTCCACCTTGCTGTTCTTTGAGAAGCTTGTAAAGAACATCCCAGCCCATGGAAGCCTGCATTTTATCACTGGAGAATGTGGTTGCGCTGTGTTGTTTGGGGTGTCACCTGACGGTGCTCCACGCTACTCCTCCTCGTGCTCAGGAGTTGTTCTGGCAGCGCTAGCGGTGCTGGGGATTGAACCTGGGCCTGCAAATCATGTGCCAGCCCCCTTGAGGAGTTCCCCTCTCTCTCGATTTGTCTGAGAGGTCACGTCTGTCACCCTGGGGAAGCTCGGCAGGCCACCACGTGGCGCTGGATTTGTACTGCTGGCAACATCTGCTCGATGCTTCGTTTTGGAAATTTTTTTTTTCCGTTTTGGAAATTTTGATCGACGTCTAAATGGAAAACTAAAAATCTGCTTTTGCTTCATTTAAGAAGAAACAGCGTGAAGCATTTCCTCATTAGAAGGACAGCTATTAATTTCACAATAAGGCAATGAAGAGAGACCGGGCACACAAGGCAGAGGACCAGGAGGCTGCTGAGGACACCCCCCTTGAAGGAGACACAGCTGGACACACTGGACGCACCGGATACACTGTCCATGCCTGGGCAGGGGCACGTGGGGGCCCGCCCACGGCTGCACCCAAACAGCGCCCTGCGCCCCAGTCCTCCTGGGAGTGGGGGGAGCAATTTCTTTACTTAGTACCAGAAAATGCAACCTAAGAGGTGAACTCGATGGGGGGGAATGCTCACCAAATCGGGACAAGGTCACAAAGCAGGTCACGGAGGTTAAAAACCCAAAACTGAGGAATGGGCCCTTCTTCCCCCACCCCGATGGGACTCCAAGATGACGCCACATCCGGTCACCATCTACTTAAGCTCCCAAACGGCCACAATCCAGAGACACACAAACGAACCTCGGACCTGAGAAACTTGCTGCAGCGGTCTCTTCAGACCCTAATTATTAAAATTTTAGAATTCCTAGAGCACGTGGCCTCTCTTGTGGCTGCAGGACATTATATTGTATCCATCACAAGCAATACAAAACACACTGTCTAGCATCGCCTTTTCGGCGGGCATGAGTGGCGGTGGGACTGGGCTCCAAATATCGAAGGGAACTGAAGTAGAGAGAGGATTGTGCAAACTGTCTGCACAGGCAGGGGGAGGTGTGGAATGAGGGGGGAGGGGTGATACTGGGGATTCTGGTGGAAAACTGCACTGGTGAAGGGATGGGTGTTTGATGACCGTATGATTGAAGCTCAAACAGGAAAGCTTTGTTACTGTACCTCACGGTGAATCAATAAAAAAATAATAATAAATAACCCAAAACTGTCCCCCAAGTAATGACAAGAGCTGGGGGCTACTCAGGGGTAGCCCCCAGCTACCCCTGAGGGCGGGGCCCAACCCAGGTGGGCAGTGGGTAGTGGACAGTAGGCAGTGGAAAGTAGGCAGTGGGCAGCGGGCAGTGGCCCGAGGGAATGCAGGGAGCCTGCATGGCACGAGCGCACCACACTGTGGCCGGCGTCTGGCCTGCCCCCCACGAGGGTCCTTGGCACTGAGCCCGCGGAGCCTGTTCAGGGGGGCTGGGCAGTGCAGGCTGAGGGCTGTGTCCAGAAGCAGGAGGGTTCTAAGATCCCCCTAGGGGATGGGAGAAACCGGCTCATGGGTCCACCCGCCCCTCCGGTCCCTCTCGGGCACCAGGGCGAGAATGTGACCGACTGCTCAGCTCTGCCCGGGGGAACAGACACGACGCTGTCAGGGCAGGTCAGTGGGGCTCTGGGGCTGCCACACACTGAGTGCAGGGGGTGGGGGTGGACTGGGGGTCAGCAGGGGGCCAGGGGGTCAGGAGGGGGCCTGGGGGGTAGCAGGGTCCAGAGGTCACAGCCTGGGGTCAGCCCTCCAGCGTCCCCTCCAGGGGCGTGTGTGTGGGTGACCAGTCGCCCCAGCCCTGAGCCCAGACCGTTCTCCTGTGTGGAGCCCAAGAGGAGCTGCTTGGATCGGCCCTTCTGAGTCCCGGCACAGAACCGTTCCCTGGGATCCTGCTGGCATGAGGCCAGGCCCTGGGGCAGGTCTGAGAATAAGAGATAGTCCTGGGCACTGGGAACCCCCATTCTCCCTCCCCCCACTCCGGCACTCTTCTGCTTCTACGGGCCAGGCCGAGGCTTCTCAGGACTGAGTCCAGGCCCATCCAGGGCAAGGAGCCTGAGGCAGGACACACCCAGCCTGGCCTGCAGGGGGCAGCAGAGCACCTCCCTGGCCGGCATGGTGCTCCTTGGCCCAGGGCTAGG